AAAAAAATACCATGAAGTAAAAAATAAAATAAAGTAAATTCATAAAATAAAGTAAATTAATAATATTAAGTAAATAAATAAAATAAAGTAAATTAATAAAATAAAGTCAATAAATAAATAAAGTAAATACATAAAATACCTGAAGTCTATAGAAAATCAACCAAAAACACAAAATGAAGTAAAACAAATGACGTAAAATAATATAATGAAGTGAAAAAATAAAATGAAGTAAAATAATGCATTAAAATAAAAATCGAACAAAAGCTTTGTAAATTGGTCAAGATATCCTGGTTGTCCTAGCAATTGGAAGCTAAATGCGGGTTTTTCGTCCCCGATCATTAAGTTCTCGGCATGGCTCAGTAGGTAGGATCCTCGTCTTCGGTTAGGTAGGTCCCACGTTCTAATCCCGACATAGGTCAAAAAATTCTGCACGTAAATATCGAGAAATATGCCTCTAAAAGTCTCGTGGACCATATTTTTCGCGGTTTTAGACATTATTTCCGTTAATAATCCATTTTGGGGGGCTCTTTTCAACTGTCCCCTGGCTACAAACCCCAAAATTTGCTGCCGATGCTTCAATTTAGCGATCCAAACCAGGTTTAGATTTATGCCCAACTAGTTTAGATATTAGCTAAACTTCCGAGTCAGCGTAGATACCAAAATCGGGTTTGCCTACTATCCAAAATAACTAGCTGGGGCCATATCAGCTATCCGGAGTTGGTGTTGTACACCGATATTCCGGCAAAAATCCAAACCCTTTTTTTTCAGTGAACAGTCCCTGATGCGACAGCTCACTTTCATCCATCGTTGCCATATCGAATTGACCTCGATACCAACAAAATAAACAAAGTTATTTAAATGAGGAATTAAGTTAACTTCTGCGGTCAAGAATTTCTTTTAAGTTAGCAATAGAAAAATTTTAAAGTTGTCTCAACTTGCACGTGGTGAAGTAAAACTGTTTTAGTAAATCCTGACTGGTCTCTTCCTCTTTCACAAAATTCAAAGTGACCACCGTATTTTCCTATTTCTGTATAGCGTTAATTGTTCCGCATCTGGATATAAAAAGGACCCGCAGAAGAAGAAGAGAAATTTAAAAAAAAAAAAAAAAAAAAAAAAAAAATTAAAAAAAAATAAAAACAAGATTCAAAAGTTTTAAGAGAAAAAGCCTAGGACAAATTTTCGAAAAAAGAGTTGATCAGATAGATATTTTTCCTTGCGCTCGTATATAGGTCTTTATAATCAAGTACTTACACTTTTTAAATTTTGTCTTACACTTAATACTGGTGTAAAACAATTCCTTGCAAAATTCAATTTTTAAAACAATAAAAACTGGTCGATTACATCGTATTTTACCTACTTTTATCGTGCAATTTAAAATAAATGTGTTGATTTGTTATCTGAAAGTAATCAACACATTCCTAAGTATAGCTCGCACGGTGCGGAATTCTCATGAAAAATTAGAACGAATCAAATATTTACCATCCGTTTAAGTCATGTTTGGCTGACTCATTATGCTCGTTTTCCGCACACGTTAAGAAATCTTCTCTTAACGCGCTTTCTAAGCATGAGTCAGGATACAACTAAACTAACTTCTCTGCAGGCAAAATTGCATACATCCATAAAATGAAGGAGCCTCCTGATTCCCGTCAACCTTTTTGCGGAGCTAACATGCTCTTTATCCTAACTTAAAGTGGAATATGAAGCGAAATAAATGCTATGAAATATGTTTCTATGAGTTCACTGGAAAAAAGTCGCTTGGATCTAGAGTCCAGACTCTTAAAAACATTGATAAGAAAAAGTACTCTTGATTCAATCGGATTTTTGCTTAGATCGAGAGCCATTCCTCTTAATTTAAACGGATCTCCTCTTGATCCAAGCAAAAATCCGATTGATTCAAGAGTATTTTTTCTTGTCATTGTTTTCAAGAGTCTGAACTCTTGCCTTGAACTCTCCAAGCGACTTCTTTTTCCCAGTGTTTGGTCATTGTCGGTGATCTTATAAAAAATCAAAATTTGAGTGAAATTTAACGAAAAGTCCACGTAAATCTATTTCCACGGATCACATACATTTTCTCGTGCATCCCGTGAATCATTCCGAAACACGTGCGCTCTCGGCAACGCTGACCCACGTGTATTATTTATCGTGTTTTAGCGGCTAATGAAAAAAATCTCCCGATTGAAAACGGCGGGAAAAATTGATTCCGCGTGCTCGGAAAAGGGCTCTGCGTTTGCTTCCTTGAGCGGAAATGGAATGCCTTCCGGACATGTTTTGGACCATTAAACAAATCGTTCGGAGCAACGTCGAATGCATCGGGAGCGGAGGGAGGTTGATACATCACGTGTTTGTTGCCCTTACCTTTTCCTTCCATCCCTGGCCCAACCTCCGTGTTTTAGTGTCGTACAACTTCGAAATGTGTTTCGCAGCGCCCGGCTTTTTCATTTCGCCGTCGCTTTATGTTTACGTGTGTGGGTATGTTAGTCTACTCGCAGAGGGAAACTCCGACCTGGAGGCGGTTATGATGGCGGGGGGGAGGGGAGGAATAGTATTGGTTTTGCGTGGCCCTTTTAACCTCAAGTATACTTTCATGAAATCGGCACTCTTGAATTGCAGAGCTCGCGTTGCCAGATCAGATGCATTCTCAGAAACCGATCATCCGTCCTGTATGCATTTACCGAGGTAAAATAAAAGGAAAGGTAGGGGAAGGCAAAAGCTTACCGCAGACTGTGGCAATAATTTCAAGATTTATTTAATCTTCCGTGAATAACTAGGTCTTCAGTTAAAATGTCCATTTACATAATGAATTTTCAACACAATTGATATTATCCTAACATTAACCCTACGTTATCCAAGACTTCATTTACACGCGAAGTCCCAAGTCGGACCGAATTGACCCGTATTTAAAGACTTTGATTTAATTGAAATGAGGTCGTTTCGACTCGGGAGAAAATTTAAAAAACAAAACCCGAATATGTCTCTCCTATATTCGGCTGTGTTGCCCACGTAGCCTTTAAAGCACCATCACAAACGAGATGCACGGAAAGAAACACAATACGGAGAAAAGCTAGGGAAAGAACTCGCTTTGGCGACGGCGCAGTGATACAACTATTCGTACTCGATGGATGACCGTGTTGTATCCCCAAAATTGAAGGCGCGCTGGCGCGAGGCGTGAACTTGCAATGCTTCGCTCTATGCTTCAGCTATTTTACAGCCATCCTGGATTCTATAGAATTATGCATTTTTGATCGGAACTATACTTCGTTGGAATCCACTTAATTTCCTTGCTTTCGCTCCTTCATTTTCAAATATTTTTGTAATCCATTTCGGTCATAGTTTAACAAAGGCCTTGCCCTCTTCCTCCTCATTCTACTACATGGCTGAATGTCCAATGAATTCTATGCGTCTGTTTAAGGTAACTTGAAAAACCCTAGTCCCACTTTATTAATTTAACAACAGCAGCCTCATCTAGAGTTGATTAGTAGTTTGACATTAGTCATGAAAGGCGAAACATCATGGGAATCAACCCAATAGGTTTTTAGATCTAGCTGTGGCAAAAATAAAATTTGAGGAGCAGGGACAGTAAAATAATTATCTAGTTGAAATAACAGGGGGATTTTTTTACGTTCTAATCGTTTGTTTGGTTGGGTGACTTTTGGTCTCAACCGGCAACACGACATTTTGCAAAGCTCCATTTTCCATCGGATAAGTAAACTGCAGGATCGAAACGAGGTTCAGTTGCACGGCGTTTTAAAGGCAGAGACATCGATACAATGAGACAAGTAGTTTTTCTCCTTTTCTTTTTTTCAAGATGGTGTCGTTGCATTACACTGTGTCCTTAAAACTTGCGCGTTTTGAATTTCCCACGCATCTTTGTTCAAACAATGTAAAAAAAGCACGAACTATAGGCATTTTTTAAATTAACGTTTCTCTCCAAAAGAGATTTATGTGAATGAAACATTATATCTTTTTTCTTTTGCTATCGGCTGGTGCGTTCAACTATCGGTGCTAAAATTTTACCATGGTATCAAGCATTTGTACCTTTCTATTGATTAATTAATTAATATTAATTAATAATCCTCTATTAATTAATATTTTAAGTATCTAAAATCACGTGAATTTGGATTTGGGTTTCTCCTGGGAAACTCCCCTTTGTCCCTTTTAAAGCGTAAAGATACATTTAAATTCAACAATTATTCTGAACTCTTACGATGGTAATTCGAGAGTTAAAACAAATGTTTGTAAAAATCACGTTTAATGAACTGATTAATCACCATAACTACAGTCTCGTTCAACTTCTCTTGCTTCTTTTTTTGTCCCGAAATATTTGTATTCGTACATGAGGTACTTGTTCATGTAGCGATACCGGAATTTCTTTTTAAATATTTCAGCACTAAAATATTCAGTCTTATGAACACTGAACATGAAGAATAACAAAATTCTCTATTCACCACGAAGAAAACAATAATTATTGATCTTACAATGCTCATAGTGTAATCCAGGCCCTTCCAAATTTTTTAGTCTTCGTTACATGGAATTCAGGCCCTACCAACTTTTTCAGTCTTCGTTACATGGAATTTGGCCTCACCAACTTTTTTAGCATTCGTTACAATGTACTTCCCCTTTACAAGGCCCTTCCAAATTTTTTAGTCTTCGTTACATGGAATTCAGGCCTTACCAACTTTTTTTGTCTTCGTTACATGGAATCCAGGCCTTATCAACTTTTTTAGTATTCGTTACAATGTACTTTTGTGGTCACCCAGTAATCACGATTCTACGACTTGACTACTGTTAAATTGGTAGAGAGCAACAAGTACTTTTTTCCGTGAAGACAGTAGCTCTCTTCTTTTTCTTTTTGTTTTTATTCCTTGAAAGGTAAGTATATGAGCTTTCTTGTCCACCCCCTCCTTTTCTTCTTTCCCTCTTGGTCCACTTCTATCCCGATACCTGAGCGTAAGTAGGCGGAATGACGCGTGTGTAATCCCTGTTTCAAATCCTTGTTCCAGATCCACCGGAGGTACGTTTGACAGGGACGCCGACGACGGACATCGAGGAGGGCAAGGACGTGGTGGCGCTGCGCTGCATCACGGACGCTAATCCACCAGCCACCGTCCAGTGGCGCCGCTCCAACGGGGACATCCGCAGCACCGAGGAGTCCTTCCGCCTGGCCCCCGTCAACCGCAAGGACAGCGGCGTCTACACCTGCCAAGCCTCCAACAACGTCGGCACCAGCCAACCTTTGACCGTCAGCCTCGACGTCAAGTGTAAGTACACCCTCCGAGTCCTCCCACACCCTCCACCCACGCAGTGGCGATTCTAGAATCGATATTTCCCCTTTGAAGCTATGGTAAACAATCGATTATGAAGGTTTTCTCCGCGAACACCCGGTTTATCGATCTTTTTCCTCAGGTTTAAGTGGACCGAGTTTAACAGAAAGGAACCAAGCCACATCTGCTATTGCCAAATTTAACTGGGCAATTTAATTTTTTACGAGAGATCGTTTGGCGGGGAGGGTTATTTAGTGGTAGTTTCAGGCGGGGAGGGTTATTTAGTGGTAGTTTGGCGGGGAGGGTTATTTAGTGGTAGTTTCACTACTTTTTTTCACCTCTGTTTCCTTTTCTTTCAAGAATTAAGAAACTACTCTGTTGTCTCTTGTATACTGATTTATTACATTGTAAAGATATTGTATATAATTCCTTTGGAAGTTTACAAAATAAAAATCTAAAAAAAAAAAAAAAAAAAAAAAAAAAAAAAAAGAGATCGTTTGTGCGGATTCCTTTGAAATTTTTAAGGAATTTGCTTCAAATTATGGAGAATTTTCACTGAAATTTGCACGAAAATCCGCACAACCGTTTTCATGAAAAAAATTAACTTGCCCGATTAAATTTGGCAATAGCTGATGTGGCTTGGTTCCTTTCTGTTCAACGCGGTCCAAATGGCAGATCAATCGATGTATCGCAAAGCGTGTCACGCCACCGCACCCACGTCGCCTTTCGAATCTAAGACGCTTTTTACTTGCGGATTTGGTCCGATGCGGGGACTTAAGCCGAGCTCAGGTTGAGTATTTTCCCCTGAAAGTCGGGCGGCTTTAAATCAAATATAACAATTCTGCCCACGTTGCTGGGAAGTCGTTTTCGTCAAGAGAGAGGAGAGGTTTGTTGAGAAGAGGTCGTATTGGAATCGGGAGAAAAACTGCATAAATACTTGAAAAATTGCCCTACTCGGCAAATGATCTAAAAAGTGCCTCTAAATGCCCTCTCATGTGATGTTCCTGCCGCGCACATCAGAAATAATTAGTGGTTAGATTTACTATGTTTATATGTATGGTTTCTTAGTAGCAAGGTGGTAAAATAGTACTGGGTTCACACTATTTTCCGGGAAAACAACGCCAAAAATTTCAATTAGAGTCCAAGATGTTGAGCTCTAATGAGTACTAGTATGAGAATGAGAGGGGAGAGTTCTCACCTTTGGCAACTGCATTGGAATATTAAGTTGGTGTCACGCCTAGAGATCTATTACTTTAGCACATTCATAATGTTAGCACATTGCTAAAACATCAAGATAAATTGGACTGCATTTTGCAATAAGGAACCACTATTTCTGCCTCATTTTGGAAAGAACATTTACGTCATTGGTTTCCCTGTGCAGAGACGTGCTTTTATGAAAGAGCCAGAGATAGTGGCTCCTTATTGCAAAATGTAATCCAATTACAACTTCTCATTTTGAAATATACTTCAGTTAAGAGTATCTTTGGGTTGAAATAGTGTAGTATATTTCTCCTGTCAGAAATGCAAAATTGGATCAGCTATTAGAGAAAAAACCTCTATTCTCCAATCATGTCGCATCTATCTTTTTAATCAAGCTCATTTGAACACAATGCTACGCTTAAGCACCAATTACTTTAAAATTCTAACTCTTCAATCAAATCCACGATTGAAGTTATTATGTCATCTCCCGAAATTCCCAGCTTAGATAACCCTCCAATAGATGTGCCTCCCGTTTTATGATTAAAACGCTTGGAGTTGTTGTCTTTGACATCAAAAACTTCCATTGCTAAGAGAACGATTATTCCCCCGGGGTGGATTTTCCATAATTTACTTTCATAATTTCATTCCCTTTGGTGTTTCATTTTTCACACACACTGAACAATATGCCGGGCTGAACTGCACTGTGTGCTTTTTGAAACAGTGCATACAAGCAGAAGCTGCGTCGGGTTGATTGTTTTTATCATTGCTGGAAGGAAGCAGGACACATAACCTCTCCCCCCCTCCCCTACTTGGCCTCTTCGTATCATCACCGACCTCTCTCAAAGTGCAAACTGGAGCCCAAAACACCGTAAAATGAAGTTTGCCCCCTTATTTTTCCCGGGCTCTCACTCCCCCCATTATTTCGAAAGTAAGCGTATAATTTGATAATCCGAGGAGCATGCTCTGAAAACGGGGGCTTTGAGGTTGAACTTGCAGAAGCGGCCATTAAAATTCTAGTCCCGAATGCAATTTTTCGGAGTATGAATAGACCAAGTTGAACTATTAAGGAGAAGGGCAAAACAGCTTGAATAGAATTAGAGGCGGGGAGTTTGTTGAAAGTTGATTATTTCCGGGGTTTTTTCCTCCTGCCGAGGGCCGAGAGCAGCGCGGCGCGGCGCCCGGAATACGAACTACTCGCTCTGTCGACGATGCAGGCCCCTGTCTCGCTCTTCCAATTATTTTAATTCTGTGTCAACCATCTTTCGTCCTCGCCCCTCCGCGACGTTTTTCTCTTTGAGATGCAAAATCATTTTACCCTCATCACTGCGTATGATGCAATTATTTGTTCGCCGTCTCTTTGTCTCACTCGTGATGCAGGTACGATTCATGCTAAGTGATGTAATTATCTAATGATTTGGTCCGCCAAGTAGGCAAGTAATGCTCATTAGCTATCGTTATAGTCACGTTTTGTGCAATAGACGAAGAGACAGCAACAGTTTACCGTTATTTAAAAAATATATCCCTAAGATCGTCCCGTCACACCTTCACGCAGCTTACACAACTAGAAATATAGGAAAATGGATACATTAACTCATAATAACACAAAGTTTCCGCTACTCCGGTACTTGAAAGTATCATGGGAAGAAAAATGCTCCTATTTTTGGTCAAAATTTTGTTTAATTCCTCCATTTTCTGACGGAAGCTTTCTTTAAAAATTCAAGGAAAGCACATGATTACTTCAGGAGAGTAATGAAGAGCAAACATGATCGGGAATTCGAAGATACAGATCGGCACAAAATATTTCTAAAAACATTAGTTTTAACAAAAAATTCGAGTCCTCAGAGTTCTCTATTCAATGCACATAGAAATTACGCCTATTTGGGCGACCCATTCTAATTAGATATCATTTATTTCACCCATCTGATCGAAAAAAGTACGGAAATTTAGCCATATTTGCGTTCCGTGTAATTCATTCTCATTTTCCCTAGAGTCCCTTTATACTGAGAGTCAATACAATGTGAATCCATTTTTGATTGGTTCCCGGATTTTAGACCTCCACAGTGTCACAAACGGGAATAAAAATTACATTTTCACTGATTGCAAAGATTATTATCTACAATGGACCAGGGAATAACGGGTTCGACAAGGAACACATGGAATGAGAGAAGTAACGGAGAAAGGAATTTGAGAATGAGCCAATCAAAGATTACGAAAAACTGTCAATTTGTGTAATCTTTATTCCCATTTGCGACTCCATGAGGGGGGTTGTCTTGACTCTCAGTATAATGGAACTCTAATTTTCCCGTGAGAAAAATTATGAAAAACGGAAATTCGGTAAGGATGGTTTCCGCCTGAAATTAATTTGATTTTGATACAACTCTGAAACTGGCAACACCGCCTGTTTCAGCTCATTCGTCCCCGTTTCCGAGGGCCGCTCACTCATCACCCGTCGCTGCGCGATGTCGCATCGCATCGCTCAATGTTGGCGGCTCTCGAGCAAATCTCAATTTCCCGTACGGAGGGATGCAATTGAGAGGATAACTCACAATAAATTGGCAACGTCGCGTCCCATCGCGACGCCGTTGCATACATTACCATGGCATTTATTCGCTGACATTCCTAGCATCATGTATCCAACGACAACCCCCTCTCCGCCACCCCCTCCCCCCCTTTAACCACCCTTCCGGGGGACTCTCGCTCTCCGCTGCGTTGAGATTTATGCAAATGAAATTATCGAATCGAGGTTATTTTCCCGATTTTCCGTCAGCGGTGCGCTTTTAATCAGCGCCAACAGCTGTTACTCAGACCTCCTAAAGTGCATTTTTTGTGTTTTCCTGTTTTTAATTTGCAAAAAAAGTGTTTTGATTAGAATTTTGCAGGAGTTTCCCCCTTAATCCCACCGAAACTCGGTTCCCCGCAGTTTTGGCTCCGATCGCATAAATTAACAAACGAGCTCCTCAGTTCTTATACGTTTATCTAGCCGAACCTGTTTAATAAAACATTCAACCAATTTGTTATTTTGATGACCGTAAAATTTGAGCAATAATGAAGGCTGAAGCTCACAGTGCTTATCCAAAGTTACCCCAAAATATATTTGAACATCCGTTTTTTTGAATTCTCTAGTTTCTTCTATATTCTAGGCTAAATATACAATTAAATATATCAATCAACGGTTTGGCATTTATGTTCTTCAGTGTTTTTTAGGCCTAGAGGATAATTTTCAAACCAAAATATCTAAAATATTCACATTCTAGCATGTATCTGATAAACAGTTTAGATTAATACTAAATCTTATGATATTTTGTGATGTTAAAAGTATCAAAGAATAAAAAGCACTAATAAACATACCATCCGCGTTCCGGGCTCAGAGGCCAAAAGTTACGGGCGGAGCACACGGAGCAATCGAAGCTACGGCTCCAGCACCCGGAACTTTGGGTTTCTGAGCCCCTAACGGACGGTACGCCTATAGAGCCCGTAATTTTTAGTCAGTGTATAAGTAACAACATAAAAAAAATCAAAGGTCCCTAGTTGATTGCAGCCACGATGTCCACGATATAGGAAAACTTCGAGACTTTCTTTTCTCCGGCAAGTGGAGTGACTTTTATTAGGGGCCCGATAAGATCGAAGGAGTTTATGAGCCCCCGATTAAAAACTTAGCAACTCGGATATTACGAGTTTCGCAAGTTGGAGCACGCACGAACGTGCGTGCAGGGGCGAACGTATAAAAATAAAAAGGGGAAAAAAATGAGAATGAAGGCTCCCGTGGACGAAAGACGTCTTATTTTCATTTGAATCACGTAAAACGAACAGCACAAACTCTCGAGTGTTCCCCGCAATAGTTTTTCCGGGGCGCTCCGCGGAATTCGATTTAGTCTCTCTTTTCGCTGCTATCTTTGTTTGCTCAGGCGTGATGTAACACTCTAATGAAAGCGCCATAAACTTGTTGTCAGAATACGGCCGCTATTCAATCCAAGCCTTTGCCTGCCGCCTTAGGACTTAGCCCCGCGAATTCATCTATTCTCAGTCCGAAAATTAATTTCAGCGGAGACGTCCTCCTCCTCCGGTTTATCACCGACCCAGGGGTTAATTTTATACGTGGGATTAGAGCGGCTTAAATCAAAGGGGAAAAGTGGAGCGGAGCTCCGTTGGCCTGAAAATGCCTGTTATTAAGATCACTCAAGCGCTGGGAAAAGCTGCATGTAACGTGTTTTGTTAATTAGAGCGCCAAAGATGGGAGATACTATTTTTTACGATACAATGTACGGTTTTTGAAGGACAATGAGATGGTGTCTTGAAGGGAGTTGGTTTTGATTTCGTTTGAGGATAATTTGGGTTCTCGCGGTTCAACTCCCCGAAGCGCTTCGCGTCCTAGGCGTTATGTGACACCCGTTACACTTATGATTTGGTATTATAGAGTAAAATTTCAGTCTTTTAGTCCCTGGAACGGTGTAACATTGGCCGAAATGCACCATCTAGAAATATTCGTGCTTAAATCATAAGGAATTTTAATCGCACTTTTCCTGAAAATCGTTAGCGATGTATTAAAAAGAACTATGTACTTCAAAATCGCGTGGACTTTCCTTTCAATATACCTGGAAACTCCGTTTTCTATAAAACAACCTAACTCATTTTTGAATAAAACCTGACCGCCTTATAGGAGGTACATATTCAATGGAATTCCCATCAAATTCAAATGAACTTGTCCCCTTAATCATTGGTGCTTCTTCAATAATGTGATGAATGGAATCGGTGCAATAACAGGAAGGAATGAAGAACTGAACACGTAGGGTTTAGGTATGAGTGAAAGACTGTATTGAACACCAAGAATAACTCGACAATACTCATATAAAACACTGAATCAAAGCTAGATCATAACTCTACGCGTGCCTCCTTCTTGGCGGCCATGATGAGAACAACCACCCGACTCGGTGGTCTACGAACACCAACACTCCTCTCAGGAATTGGTGAATGCTGGACATGACAAATAACTGTTCCTCGCATAAGTTAAGTTTTTGACTCCTTGTTCCTTCAGTTCTTTTTATGCCAGTTCGAATATTGGTAGGGACGGGGGCTGGTCGAACTTTTCATACTCATTTTCCACGTGGATGGTACGTTTCTCATTTGATCTCTGCTGTAGGTGTTAATGACCCAGCTGTGTTAAAGCACCTATAAATAAATGTATAAAACAAGGAAACAACAACATATTAATTTTTGTCGAATTTCCAGACGCACCTTCGATCCGCGAAGTGGGGCCGGACAAGGTGGTGACGGCGCCCCTGTTCTCACCGGTGCGGTTCAACTGCGAGGCTGACGGGAACCCTCTACCCTCGTACCAGTGGCTCCAGCGACTTCCCACCATCACACCCACCTCCGACGAGACCGTCTACGTCCGCGGCTCCGAGGCCCAGCTCTACGTCAACAACGTCACCTACGACCACCAGGGCGACTACGTCTGTCGAGTCACCAACTCCATCGGCGGATCCGAGCGCTCAGTCCAAAGCCAGGCCATCTCCGTTCAAGTCGTAGGTCAGTATCTCTATGATTTTTAATAATCTTACTTCTTCTTTGGAAAAAAAACACACTGGATCCAGAGTCCAGACTCTTGAAAACATTGACAAGAAAAAGGACTCTTGATTCAATCAGATTTAAGCTTAAATCAATAGGAAATCCGCTCAAATTAAGGGGCTTGGTTCTTGATTTAAGCTCAAATCCGATTGAATCAGGAGTAATTTTTCGTGTCCATGTTTTTAAGAGTCTGGACTCTAGATCCAATGTGTTTTTTTCCAGTGCTTCTTATCAATTCCAAGGCCAACTTCCCTGAATTTTTCGTTGCAAAATCATTATATTTGCACCTATCTGCAAATGGAGATTAATGGCACGTGTGATGCTTCTGAAATGCATCCGAAATAGTAAAAAAGTCTCTTGGATCTTGAGTTCAGACTCTTAAAAAATTTGAAAAGGAAAAATGTTCTTGATTCAATCGGATTTCTGTTTGTATTAAAAGAAAATCAGCTTAAATTATGAGGCTCGGCTCTCGATTCAAGCATAAATCCGGTCAAGTCGAGAGTAGGTATTTTTTCTTGTCAAATTTTCTATGAGTCTGACCCCTGAATCCAAGAGCCTACTCTCTACTGAGAAACAGCTCTGACATGTTGTGTTAAGTTGGAAAGTAGAACACTTTGGGTTACATTGACTAAATTTTTGGGTTCCGTTGTCCAAATCGCTTCAGGTTTAAAAATTATTGTAACATCGTTAAAAATTACAGACCGCCAAAATCCTTTGGTAAGTGATTGCACCGATTTATTTCCGTATTGAATTTTTCGGCACTTATGTCAGTATTCTCACAGCCGGTCGGTCTTATGAGGTACTTGAATTATTGCATGATTGTTAAACGACAGTACTGCGTTCTAGGTGTATTGAGAATCTCGTATTTTAGACACCCACGATTAGAGACAAGCTCCTCTCTCGCCGCCAACCTGCAAGCGCCTTCAATTCTGAACGCAAGCAACTTATTCAACTTGAGAATGATCGCTAATTGCATATCCAAGCGTTTGCAGGCGTTCTGCGGCAGGAAAGCTCTTCGTTGTATTTGAAATCAAAAACGCTGTGCCGTAATTGTTTGTTGTTTTTTGTCTTTATTCTTTTGTCTCCTCTTATCACCGTGTATCCAAATTATAATTCACTTCCACGAAGTTTTTCTTTCTTTTTTTCTTCTCTTTCGAAAGCGAAAGAAAGACAAAGTGCTTTCGTGTAAATGAAGCCCTCTTAAACAAAATTAAATCTATTTAACTTATTCTTCACTGCAAAATGAATCTCTAAGCCAATGTTAAGTATCATGTAAGTTGAAATCACTGTGCTAGGATACTTGTATTATCCTGTATTCTCCACCGTGTGTCGCCTTCCCGGGCAATTTTGGAAAAGAAAACATCAATTTGATAAAGACAAAAATTTAATTTCAATTTTTTCCCAAGTAAACTAGAGTCTGTATTTTCTGGTTGACTCTTACGGCAGTTGATTTATTACTCAATGCCACAGAGACTTCTCCAATAAATTTCCCCGATTCCTAAAGAAACTAAATGAAGTTGCACAGTACAATCTATTTGAAACCCTTGCAGTTCATTCTATGATACACGTTAGTTCGAAGAAATCCTCAACCCGGCTTTAATGGAATTTCTCTCTTCTAAAATCCTCAATAAACTGACATTATTAGGAGCTATAATATCATCCGACATCATAATTTGCGAAAAGAGCTTCTGTAAAAAGACGTATCAATATGGAATGTCTTAGATATTACTTGCACGTCTCGCTGATAATGTCATGATAAAAATGTAACGTCAATTATCTCACTGTGTCAGTGATAAATTCTCGGTTTATTCCTCATCGTAAACCGAGTTAGTAGGAATTTTATGGAATTTTTGTAGTTCTCTTACCTCGTGAAGACCCGAGATGATGGAACCTTTAGTCAGATTGCCTTTGATTATCACCTCATTCCGTTCACGTTGTTTTATCTTTAGGCATCACCCAGATATGTCCAATCCTCGTTGATTGTCTCCGGTTGGTAGGAACGGGTACTATATTTTTCATAAATACATTTCCATCCCACTAAAATAAAATAAAAAAAAAAAAAAACAGAAAAACAGAAAAAACGAACCAAAAAACAAGCACTTACCCGAATTTCGTAACAACAGTGTCCTTCGTACTCCGAACAAAGTTTCTTCTTTTCCTCCCCCATTCAGTTTTTTTTTTTTTTTTTTTTTTTTTTTTTTTTTTTTTTTTTTTTTTTTTTTAAACGTACTAAAGAGAGATCGCCTGGGAAATGGTAAAGGTTTGAGTAATTATAGCGCGTGAGCTCTTTTACGAATTTTCTGTGAAATTTTGCCCTTTAAATCGCGGCGTCGATAATTATCGTGTTTATATTAAATGTTTGAGCTTCAGGCTTGACGACTTTAAATTAACTGTATGATCTAATTGCCGTCCCCTTTTTTTTTTGCGATTCTCGCATGAACGTACCGGTTGTAACATTTCATTAAAAACTAATCATTTTCCCAACAAAACGAGCGCCGCTATGATGAAACCTGGATTTTTGCACCTCTCCCCCCCCCCCCCCCCCCNNNNATGTTAATATCCGCTAAAAGGCATTTTTGTGACTGCATATTTGCATAATCAGTCCAAACCATAATTGACCTTCGTTTTTGTCACAGACGCAGGCGCCTATGTGGAAAATATAAAATATTTCTCGGCAGCCAACGGCGAAAACTTGCTCCTATCATAAAAGGTCATCCAAGCTTTCAATTTTTCTCCCCTCGCCCTCCCCCCCTCCTCTCACGGCCTGTTTTTCACTCGCTTCTCGGCTCTCCAGTGGTATTTACTTTCAGGACTTAACAGCGGCAACTTTCTATTTTATTTCGCGTCGACGTTATTTCCTTCTTTGTTTCTAGCTGCGGGCTCGCTCGCCGTGGAGTTCGTTACGACGTTGCCGACGACTAAAAATACCCCCGAAATGTCCTGCAAAAACCATAAAGAAATGCCTTTATCTCGGTTGCGTTGGCAACGCTGGAGCAAACAAACCAACATTAATTACGTCCAGCCATCGGAATACGCGGAGCACGGTTAAATGCTGGGTTTTGATGGGCGGCAAAAAAAGTTATCGAACACGGTTGCCATGTGGAGTGATTTTCTCAAGCTTTTCCTGATTTTTAACATCGACAACAAACATCGTTTTCTTGCGACGTTAATTTAAATTATCCAGGGTGTCTACAAGTCCGGAATTTCCGGAAATATAGTACTGATTTTTTTAAGGGCGGTCCGGAAGTACTGAAAAAGTGCGGAAATTCCGCAAGAAGGTCCGGAATTTGTCTAATTTTTAGTCATTTTTGTCTCAATTTGAGCGAAATTCAAATTTTTAAAATTTCGTCAATAATTGGAAGTACTGAAAAAGTATTGAATTTTTCTGTCGAGGAGGTACTAAATTTCTTGGGAATGTACTGAAAAAGTACTGTAAAAGCACTGATTTTTGGTTAGCTTGTTTTAGGAGACGCCCTGTTATCGGCGAACAAGCACAACTCGTTACCAAAAATTCGTCAAAATTTACTATGATCATTGTACCCAAGAAACAATTTTTTTACGCTCCAAACATTTGGATAGTTTTTTGCTGCGTGAAATCTGCTCATCGTTTAGCGATATTTTCAGACACTGGAAAAAAAACACATTTGATCTAGAGTCCAGACTCTTGAAAACATTGACATGAAAAAGGACTCTTGATTCAAGCAGATTTTTGCTTAAATCAAAAGGAAATCCGCTCAAATTAAGAGGCTTGGTTCTTGATTTAAGCAAAAATCTGATTGAATCAAGAGTATCTTTTCTTGTCAATGTTTTTAAGAGTCTGGACTCCAGATCCAATGTGTTTTTTTTCCAAAGGAGTTTTGGCAACGGCGCAAAAAGAGGGAAGGCGATAAGCCCAAGCGCGAGGTGTCCGGTGAAATCATGAGCCCTTGCGAAATTGTTGCTAACACTCGTTTTTCGCACTCGTTTCTGTGGTTGGAACCCGATCGGTCGGTCGTGGCAGACAATGTGGATTTAATTATTCGTTTTTCCCCGTCCTGCTCCGGGACGGCTTTTAATTTAAGGGTGGCTCATCGGCAGTGAGGCGTGCTTTGATCGTCAATATATCCGTCGATGCCTCGAATCCGGGGCGTAATCTCGGCGCTGTAATGTCCGGCGGCTTTAATGCCTTTTTAACGCCTAGAGGCCGAGCTAATGTTTTGAAAACGAGACGAAGCTATGTGCGGAAATGTTGGTGTGGGACCCTTAGAAAAATGTTAAAAAACTGGAACAATTTTTTTTCAGGGATATTGTTTCTCTGTGTTTTTCTCGCATTTAACTTCGAGCAAAACGCTTAAAATTTCTTTCATCTCTTTCGAAAGCGCAAGAAAGACCAAGTGCTTACGTGTAAATGAAGCCCTCTTAAACAAAATTAAATCTATTTACTTTTTCTGCACTGCAAAATGAATCTCTAAACCAATGTTAAATATCATGTAAGTTGAAATCACTGTCAGTGCTAGGATACCCGTATCATCCTGTATTCTCCACCGTATGTCTCATATAGTATTTCAAACTACATGTGGATAAGAAAAATACTACTTACAAACACAAAGCAGACGTTTCGACCTACAATCTGCATCTTATTCTAAGATGTAGTAGAAGATTATGAAATTTCACATAGTTTGGTAATAATTTTGTTCGTGAAATTTTTCTATTAGCTGTTGGTTGTAATGCACTGAAGAAGACCCCAAATTGTAGGTCGAAACGTCCGCTTTCTTTTGTAAGTCGTATTTTTCTCATCTACATTCAATTTGAATTATATTATTTATTTTGGCTCGTAGTTTGATGTTTTTTAATTATGCATGTACCTACAGCCTATCCTGCCAAATTTGGCACTAAAATGCATTTAACTCTCTATTTGAATTGAAATTCATTTACATTTTTATTGTGTTTCAGGAGCCCCACAAGTTGTTCGAAATATCGGAGGAAGAGAAGTGGTTGCCCGTCGTGGGGAGGATGCTCTGCTCAAGCTGGTCGTATGCGCTGACCCCCGGCCCCGAAGGGCGGCCTGGCATTGGGGCTCGCTCCAGTTGGAGGCAGGCGCCGGCCAAGGAAGGTATCAAGCCGAGAACCTCATACAAGTGAGTACCGTCGTCTACCATTAACAACGTCATTCGGCATATTGACGGTGAAACTCCCAAAGCGCGTATCAGGGTTGTCACAGTTAGAAAATATCGGGAAATGTTAGGGAATTTTAAAAAAATCAGGGGAAACCTGGATTGGCAGGGAAAATGACGAAAATGTTGAAAATGTCAGGGAAAGCTCGTCAAGTCACCTTTATTTGCTTTCTAGACTAGGTTTGACGTTTGAAACAATAGATTTTGAGTGAAAACTATTTGATACTATGTATTTTTAACCATCTAGTATCTCTTTAATTTTCAGGGAATTTTACCAAAATGTGACAGGGAAGTGTCAGGGAATTTAAATTTCTTCATTTTGTGGTAACCCTGACGTAACTCGTTTGCGGTGTTTCAAAATCTCTACTCCCTTTTTAAAAGTTTGAAAGCGAACAAATCAACATTATTCCTTGAGTTTTCACAGAATTTCCTCTGCACAGGGAAGAAAAATCAAGGAGGGTTATTAAATTGACGTTGAGTAATTTAAACTTCATTTAAAAATAAAGTATGATAGGGAGTCTGCAACGTCACGCACCGAGATACGTGGTTTGGGAGTTTCACCATCGAGATGTCTGTTTTCTTGGAATGTTTTTCCAATATAGACTAGGTTTTATTCGTATTTGGAAAACCGGGGAAACTCAGGGAATTTGATGGGACCTGGAAATATTCAGAAAAACACAGGGAATTTGAAATTTGTGAAAGAGTAGTAGAAGTGAATAATTTTATTTTTACGAGGTGCCTTAACATCGGAAGCCATGTGCGGGTCTGGAAAAATCCTACAGAAGAAAAGCACTCAAGCAGGGGAAAGAGCAAATATCTCATACCTTGCGCGTGCGTATGCATTACACGCCAACCAGCGACCGCATTGCGTTTGGCGCAATGCGTGAAGTATTCATACAGTCCTGTAGGCGCTAATATGCTTCCGCGCCGACCGGCGACCGCACTGCGTTAGGCGCAATGCGTGAAGTATTCCAGCACTCTTGTAGGCGTTCATGTTCTTCGCGCCGACCAGCGACCGCATTGCGTTCGGCGCAATGCGTCACGTATTTCTGCAGTCTTCTCGGCGCTAATACGCGTTTCGCGCCGAACACCGTTACATTCCCATTTTCACTGAAAGAGGTTTTCTTGCTTATTTTTCTCTAAATGTGTTTATCCGCTCTGGGAAAATCTCTGTAATGATTTCATGTTTCCTCTTTGATTTCAGGATACTCGAGAGGACTGTTATGAGGCTCGATTCCACGTCCGAGAGGTCTCACCGGAAGACTCTCGGAATTATTACCTCGAAGTCCATAACGACCGCGGCACTGACCGGCACTCGGTCAGGCTGGCAGTCCGGGGTTCGTATGCCGGTTCGTTTCATTTTGCCAATGCGGCTCCTCATTCTTATCACTAATCTTTATGCTTAAGTTTGACCACTAACGCACCGATTTATCTGATATGTTCCACGGGGAAAGGAATCGTTATATAGCTCTCGGGGAAAAAGTTTCGAAGAAAAACAAATTTGAATGTTCGGGCTTCAGTCAAAAACACTTTGAAACACTGAAACGCCTCAGTGGCGTGGCGTGCTTTGCGATCTATTGATATTTCCTCATTTGAAGCTGTGGTAAATAATCGATTATTAAGGTGTTCTCTGCGGACATCCTGTTTATCGATACTTTTCCATAGGTTTAAATGACCGATCAATCGATATATCGCTAAGCACGCCACGCCACTGAAACGCCGCATAGTAGGACGAGTCTTTAGAAGAAGTCGGGCGTGAAATTTTTGACTAAAACGGCATATTTAAATGTATTTTGCATCACTTTTTAAATACCATGGGATGCTTCTAAAAGAAAAGTTTACGAGGAAATCGATGGAACCACTTTCAAAACCTCAAAATTTTGTATAAGCAAAGTTATGAGCTTTTAAAGTTTCCAGATTTTGTTCGACCTCTCCCATTAACACTATATCTACTGAGCACCTTTTTTTGAATCTAATTAGGAATTCGATTATATTTTCAGGCGTCTTTTTGCCGAATTTGTCGCGAATTATCCGCGCTACTGTGCCATCAAATTCCAGAAACTTAATTTTTCCAAGTTCTTCCCCGTGGATCATCATATCGTTGTTTCCCTTTTAAAAGAACGTAACTACACTTCAATGTTGCCGAATTTCCCCGCACCAATTCCACTTTTACCAGGAGAATTTTGGGCATTTCTATAACTAAAAATTATACCAATTTCTCCTGTGACCGTATGCAAAAATCAGACAAATTTTGGACGAAAATTGCATGGTTACATCCGTGTAAAAAATTGAATTGTTTGAGTCAATTTTGCAACCCTGGAATGGAGTTACGTTCCTTTGTCCGGAAACGACGATATATCACATGTATGTAATTTGGTATCACCAAAGCTGAGTTGATTGTTATGGTGGCTCATGAAGTGGGCGGTTAATGAAGAAATAAACATGAATGACTTATTTTCATTTTGCTTTTCGGAATATTCGTTTTCTGCCGTTTTGCCAGTCTTAGGAAAGGAAGCATATGTTGGGAAGATTTAGAGCTTATCGGTTCAAATGGGGCGAAAAACAAATACGATAGCAAAATGTGTGTCATGTAAAAAGTTGTTTTCTCCCATTTCAACCTTGCCCTTTTCCCCAATTTTGCTTGAAAACACATGCTCTGGGTGTACACAGTAGAGCCTTGCCAGATTTCAGCCAACTCAGCACTACCATTCACCAATTTAAAATCACCTTAGCACGACATTTCTCGTCATGTGTATAGACCGCTCTATGTTGTGTTTCAGTGTGATTTAGATTAATTGCTATTGCCATGAATGTATGCGATTTTTATGTACGCCTCAATACTACCGTGCCAAGGAAAATCGCCGTATGAGCCTTCAGGCGTTGCCAAATTTCCCCTGGTAAATCACCAATTTTCAGGAAGATTTTTGAATATTTTTCCGCCAATTTCTCAGATAATTATGTTCGCAATTTCTCCCGAAGTTCCTGAAAATTTCAAGGGAAAATATGTATAATTTTCCTCAAAAATCAACATTTTATCGAAGGAAGTGTATCAACTCTCGAATATTCAATATGTCGGCTCAATAGAAGAAAAACGCCGTATGAACATTCGAGAGTTGCCAAATTTCCTCGGATAAAACGCTTATTCTTGGTGAGAGCTATGAATATTTTTCCTTGAAATTTTCAGGAACTTTAGATGAAATTGCGAACATAATTATCTGAAAAATTGGAAGAAAAATCTTTACAAATTTTCCCGAAAATTCGTGATTCGCCGAAGGAAATTTGACAACGCCTGAAGGTTCATACGACGTTCTGCCTTAGCGCGGCTCGTTATTCCGTCGGGATAAGCACGAAGAAAACGGGAGTCGTGATCGGGGGGATCGGAGTCGGACAAGAGTCATAAGGAAAACTAAGACTTGTTTATGGTGCTGACTCGACGCGATCGGTTTAAGTGAATCGCGGCGAGGGCGGATGAGGGTTTTCCCGGAACTTACCGCTCCGGACAAATTTGCGCTGATTTATGGAAGGAACTCAAACCGACGAAATAAATCTCGAAAAGTGCTCGGCGACCATAAATCTACTTTACCATGGCCGATATCCGATCGCTTTGATAAAGCTGCCCGGACACAACGGAGTCTTGATAGTTGCGATTAGTCCGCCGAAAAGAGGGAGATCATAAAAAAGAAGAGACCGAAAGTTGAGCTTAATCCTTTGGCGGCGGATATTGTAATGTCCTGGAAGTTATTACGTGCTATTTTTACATTGATTCTTCAAATGTCACTTTTAGGACTTCGTGCTGAAAAGGAGACTTTCGTTCACATCACTAAAGACAACTTGAGGAAAAGAACATTACTTTAATATAGCTAGATTCCAAAAACGAATATCTTCGATTACAGTTTCTACTCATGTCCTCATTCTTTTATTCCTCGAGATGCAGTATGCAGTCCTTTTTACAAAATTTTTCGCGCGCAGATAAATTTTTTTTTGGACTGAGTAGTTGGAATTGGTTAATTTTTAATTACTGCTCCTCTGATTTTTTGGGGAGCTTTCATTCAAAAATTTTAACAGGACAAATAGAGACAATGCAGCCGGATTTCTTATTCAGCAAATCAGTGCATTATAGGTACCTGTTTCATAAGATGGGAGGCTAAATGAATTTCCATAATTTTGATTTAGAGCAGCTCATGTCCAGGGACTGAGGACAGCTGCTTTTCATAAAAAACGATTTATTAAAGGCTTTAAACTATTCCTATTGGTCGAATATCAATTTCTCTGTCTTATTGGTTGCCCTAGAAAAAAAGTTAAATTAAGAGAAAATCACGAGATATATCCACTCTGATGCCAAAACGGCCGTCATCGTCTTTCGACGAAATTAACTCTAGCAGCCTCGATTTATTGCAACGCTCTATCAAACGCCATGTTCCTGGAGGATGTAGTTGTCGTCATAGTCTCTATAGGCTCCATTCGGCAAATTTACGCTTCCACTATGGCCGCTCTCTTAGCAGCTTGAAAAGATTCGGGCTGAAAAACCCGGAAACAGCGTTGCCACTCTGCATCGATAAATGAGCCGTTTTTTCTCTTAATCATGCGCCGAGAAGCTAAAGAGCGGCTGCAATCCGGCAAAAGTGCCCGGAAACAAAAGATGATTGAATGACGCGGCTCGTGGCACAAAGAAGGGAATGACGCTAAGATTACGATGGATGGTGACGTCACAGACGAGTCACTGCGAATTTACGATAAGGGCGCGCGAAGGCGAGCCCGAGGGCCCATGCGTAACGGATGCGGAATTGGGTGAGAATTTTGCCAACACTCGAAGCCTTTCAAAGGCGTTGGCGTTATGTTCCTTATTTTAAGCTCATTAAGCGCCTCTTTAGAATTTTGGCAGATGGATATGCTTTTTCCTTCTCGCAGCGCCCTTTTCATCTCCGAGCGTTGTTGCCAGAAAGTGCTGGAAAAGCAGCTCATTTCTCCGTTTAGACCCATTTAATCGTATAATCTGGCAACCTTGTCTCCGAGCCTTCGGTGAAAAACGACGATGTGTGCGCCTCCGCGAGAAATATCTTCTTCCGCTGATGAGCCGAGGGTTTGTAAGAAGTGCTGCGGTATTTTCTAAAATTGCAAACGAGCCTTTTTCTGAGTGACGCTGCTGGTGGAAACTATACGAGACTGCTCCTCCAGGCATTTTTCATCCCTGATAGTACAGTGACGCGAAAAAGATGTTTTTTAAAATATCGGTTAAAAAATGAAAGGCTTCATACATGATTCTTTTAAAGGGGGGAAACACTAGAAAATTTCAACTACGACTTTTAAACGTCAAAGGAGTTACTCATGATGATATGTATTTTTAATATGTTTTAAAAGTCATGACTAACTCACTTTTAAAGCATATAAAAATATTGAAAAACCATTAAGAGACATTAAGTTTTTAAATTCATTTTTAATCCATCTTGAAAAATATTTGTAAAGCCTTTTAAAAATATTTTTGAAAGTATGTAAACCTAATTATTTAATTTTTTTTTGTTTGAACAAACTTTCGAAGTTTTTTCCAAAATGGGGGTTTCAAAGGTATTTTCAAAATGGTCTTCTTTTCAAAACTGAACCCAAAAAAAACGTTTTCAACTTTTGAAAAAGGTTTACCTAAAGTAAAAGTTCCCAATTTGTTTTTTAACTTCAAAACAGGAATTCATGAACATTAGTTTTTTAAAAGTTAAAATGCAATGTTTTTAAAACAAACTTTGTTAATCGATGTGCTATCAGGGGCTGTCCGTGCTTTTGTCACAAAACGCGGGGTTTCTGTTGGATTGAAAGGTGTTATTAGCGTTCAGTTTTTGGCCGTGTAACTTTCATTCACTGTTAGTTGTATTATCGTGGCATTATAAATCCATTTCACCGTGATTAATAGCATGGCAACTTTAAACCTTAAAATCGTGAGTTACCGCGTAAACAAAATCGCACGATTGAGCATCTCGTTAAGCAAATTTTAAAGTCGCTTCCAGTCCAAATAAATGTACCGGATATTTAAGAAAAACACAATGAATAATAAAGAAGTCAGGATGCATGTATTGTTTTTTGACAAAGTAACAGAATTACTGCACCTTCGTCTTCATTGTGTTTAAAATCGTTTGATGAAAGACGATCCACTTATTTATAATGCATGATTCTGTTGGTTTTAATTGGTTTTGGGTCTGGCAAACTGGAGTGTTTGGTAATACTAATTTTCTTTTCGTCTCCCTTTTTTCAGAGCCTTTGACGATGGTCACACTTCTTAGCGTTACAGCTGCTGCATTTTTAGTACTCCTGGTGGCAGCCCTAGTTTTATTTTATATAATTCGCACTGAAAAGTGCTGTTTTGGAAATAAATTTAGTAAGTGTTTTTGATTTATTTTTTGTGCATGCTTACTATATAAGATGAAAACGAAATTAAAACATAACAGAATGGGTAAATTGAACGAAGTATGGACGCAAATTCTCAAGATATGTTTTAGGATGGTAGCAACTTGTCTTATTGGCTACCGAGCCCAGGAGAGGAAACTTGATGTAAAACAAGGAGAAACAATGATTAGGCAATCACTGGATTCCTCTCTTAGTTTTCGTGCGATTGAGAAAATTCAACTGGGCAGCAATCATGAGAAACACTAAGAGATTGAAAAATTAAATGCAGATCTTATCCGTTAGTCACTGTAAATGTATCCATTGAATGTGAGCCTTAAGTACCGGTGGAAATTTTGAGATTTTGTTTTTCATGCTTTGCTCTCTTCCTCTGTCGAGAAGATTCCATACATTTTCAAATTGTTCGTAACTAAAGCCGCATCTAATTATAACCGTCGCAAATGTGTATAATGGTAGAAATTTTCCGTTTTCCTAAGACGCACACTTATTATCGCTTGATCAGGCTTGTGCAAAACTGACGAAGCTCCTTTTTTTTCAAAGGCTTTTGAACATTTAATGCCACTAGAATAAGTGACATTACCACCGAAATACATATGTTGAAGATCTCAATAGATAGCTGGACGAATCTCTCATGCATTTTAATCTTGAAGGGCTTTGCACTATCAGCTCCGGGTCGCTACGTGGAGATGGAGAATTGGAGAAGTCTCCCTTGAGCGTTATTTAACGCGTTATCTGAAAATCTTTTCGACGAAACTTGCGCCACTCCTCGTTGGCGTGCAACCCCGTCCTCAAAGCTCTCATAGCAGGATGAATTATGATCACCCGCTTTAACCTTGTTAGCCTGCTTCCTCTCTCGTTATACTTGCGCCGGAGTATTGAGAGAGTGCCGTTATTCCGACTATTTTATCACCCACTAATTTTATTCCCCTTGATTTACGGCGACAGAGGCTTTTATTCCGGAGTGTTTATTGCAATCCTGTTTAATTATGCAGCTCAAAATACATCTGTGCGCCGGCGCTGCTTTTGCACACATCTTTCATCCCGATTGCCTCCGTTCATCGCTTCGCTCACATTTAGCGAAAATAAAAAATGTCACATACACTAAGACGCAAGACTATGAAATTCCTGTCTTCCTTCATCCCCTTATTGGTCTACCCCCACTTCTCATATTTTATCAGCAATGAACCCAAAGAGAGACGGGCATCCAGTGATATTACAGCAGATCTCTCTGAGGATTGTGGTGTCTGCGCGCAGATTTTGGAACAGTGTTCGAAACTCGCAGGTGCCAACGCGCCAAATGCGCCTAAGAAATCGGCCATGCCGCCAAGAAAATGAAGGCTCTGCGCCAATTTGGCCCCTAAAAATCCCCCCCCCCCTCTTAGAAAAAATTCTAATTTTTCTGCTTGGCGATTTTTGAAATTTCGACGCACGACACTGGATTCTAACTTTTCACTAAATGCGCCGTGATATGTAGGCAAAAAGTCAATTCGGGACCTAAAAAATCTTCAATGGCCCCTGAAACGAAGCTTCATGGGTCATATGGCTCCTGAAACTCAAAAGTTAGTTTCGAACACTGTTTTGGAAACTCCTTTGGTTGACGCATAACTTTAAAATTAAATAAATAAATAAATAAATAAATAAGTTATGAATATGTAGCCTTAATAAGAAATAAATAAAAAAAAACTATTGGAATAAAAAATTATTCCAGTAAAAAACGTCTAAGTTTATGTCCATATTTTTCACCGATCATATGCAAGTTGGGGAAAAATCAGCACAAATCTACAAATTTTTAGTATATTTTTATCTAAAAGTCTATTTACTTGTTTTGTTTCAGGGAGAGGCGATTTTAGGCCAACAGATTTAGAGAGGTAAGTTTTTTTTTTCTTTCTTTCTTTCTTTCTTTCTTTCTTTCTTTTCTTTCTTTCTTGGCCTTAGATGCTAAAGCACCGCTTTAAAATAAAATTATTTTACTACTACTACTACTTTCTTTTTTAGAAATTTCACCGCTTTAAAATAAAATTATTTTACTACTACTACTATCGTTTATCCGGACACATAATGTTTCATGCCTCGCTCTCATCTACAAAAATTGCTAAAAATGCATTTGATGGTGCATTTTTGGAATTTAGTCAACCAACGTGCCATTGATAATTAAAACTAAAGTTATGGATGAGAAAATAAGTTACATTTCTCTTTCATAAAATACATGAGCCCATAAAGAATAATAGAGTGTAGGAGCGCTCCTTTTGAATTTCGCCAGATCATTAAGAACGCAATGCATGCACAAATAACTTGGATGTTTTGTCGTTTGAGAGTAATGGACTGTAACACTCGCTCGACGCATGCGAGCTATTTCACCGCTCTTATTTGCTCTGAGAACCGTTTCCACCACGAGAGACAAATCTGATTTAGGACTGTTGCAAATGCACCTCATACCATTGAGTAATAAAAGTGAGATACATTGACACAAATAGAACCTAAAGTAAGAAAATCATATATGCTTGTCATCATGACAGCGCAAACTTTGTCATAAATTATGTAGCATTTTCTTTTTCCTTTTTATTTGCATTACTTTCTTGCAAAATCTCGTCACTCACATAGAGGAATCAATATCCCGGAAAAAATAAATGAAAAATAACTAAAAAACGAAAATGCCATTCACGGTTGTCCTGCCATAAGACGAGTAAACCTATTAATGCAAACAATAGAAGGGAGGATCTAAGTTATAACTTCAACATTGACTATTGCATGCTCTTTGAATTTTCATACGTCCCTTCTCTCAGATCTCATATCATATCTAAAATCGAAATGAGGATCTAAGTTATAACTTCAACATTGACTATTGCATGCTCTTTGAATTTTCATACGTCCCTTTTCTCAGATCTTATATCATATTTAAAATTTCAAATCCCATTTTTGTTGCGCAAGCAAAATTAAAGGCGCGACAGCGCGAGGCTCGAACTCGAAGTGCTTCGCTCTATGTTGTCAATGAGGTGTCACTCAAATGGAGAGAAAAGTTTAAAAAATGAGGCCCGGGTACATCTCTCCTATCCTCGGCTGTGTTGCTCACGTAGCCTTTGAAGTGCCTCTACTAAGAGAAAAGGAACCAACAGAATATGAAAATAGAGCAAGGGGAAAGACGCGCGTCGACTACGGCGCAGAGATACAACTATTCGTACTTGATGGATGCCCGTGTTGCGTCTGAAAAATTGCAGGCGCGATGGCGCGTGGCGTGATCTCGCAATGCTCCGTTCTATGTGTCAATGAGGTACTTATCGCGTCGCTTAGATTCGGGAAGAAAGTTTAAAAACGAGACCCGAACATGTCTACCATCTTCGGCTGCGTTGACACTCCTTTATTTCTTTTACTTTTTTTCAAGTTGATGTCTGGTTTTTTTTTTCCTAAGGATTTATTTGCAGACCTTTGTCTAAAGCTCATACCGGCCCCATACAACCCGCGGGGTACCTGTTTTCAAGGGGAGCGTGTGCATCTAAGGGTATAGGAAAACGTTATCGATACACCTCGTCACGTTCCGACCAATGTATCACAAGCGCCATGCGACGTTTCAAAATTTCCGCCGCCATTTTATTTATTTACAGAGAAATTTTTCAACGAAGTTGGCCGAAAATTTCATTGAATTTTCTTTGTGCTGCCGATATAATTCAGTGAAATTTTCCGATAGATTCAACCAACAATTTCTCTATAAAAAAATAAAATGACAGCAGAAATTTTGAAACGCCGCATGTTGCTTGTGATACTTTGGCCGGAAGGTGACGATCAATGTTTCTTTCTTACTACTTGCCCCTACGCACTTGTCTTTGGGGTAACCTACACGGAGAAAAAAACCTCGTGCGTGGGACCCGAAGTTCAGGTCATATGGATCTCTGAAGTTTTCGGATTGAGCATCTGAACACTTCAGGTCTAGCTGTCGAGGTTCGGATCACACATCTGAAACTCCAGTTCTTACATCTGAAGTACTTCAGATGTGAGAACCGAAGTTTTTCGGAAGTGAGATCCGAAGTTGTTCGGATTTAAAAAGCGAAGTACTTCAGATGTAAGAACTGAAGTTTCAGATGTGTGATCCAAACCTCAGCAGCTGGACCTAAAGTGTTCAGATGCTCAATCCGAAAACTTCAGAGATCCATATGACCTAAACTTCGGGTCCCATGCACGAATTTTTTTTTACGACCTTAGATTAATCTCAAATTGTGCCATGTACGACGATCCTCATCAAAGTCCATTTTGTTTTGTTTCAGTGAGAAAAGTGACATCGATAGCAACACATGCGTGAAGACGCCTAGGATAGAATCAAGTATGATAACGAGTGGCCCCATGTCGATACCCGGGGAGGCGATGTACTGCTCGTCGCCGGCGCGGAGGCCGCCCCAACAGCACATCATCACGGCCGGCGGGTCCCCTGAGGCGATGAAGGTGAGACTTGCAGCCATGGTACTCCAACCACCCACCAGAGTGTAGCACGATGTGTGTTGTGATTGTAATGCTCCCCCCTCGGCACTCGTCACTTTGTTATGATCTCAATCTTTGTTAACGCTTTATTTATTATTTTTACATTATTTTACGTTTCCCGATCGTCTTGCAACCATCCATGTTTCTCGCGCGGCCCCGGCGTCGCACTCTCCGCGTTTAAGTAGTTTCTGCTTCGTTGTGATAGTCATTAGATTTTTTTACAGTTTATATTTCTTGCTTGAGCGTAGGAATATTCTGCCGTGCCAAGGAAAATTTTTCTTCGATGAATCACGAATTTTCGTTTTTTTTTTTGTAAAGGTTTTTCTTCCAATTTTTCAGATAATTATGTTCGCAATTTTACCTAAAGTTCCTGAAAATTTCAAGGAAAAATATTCATAGTTTTCCCTAAAAATAAACTTTTTATCAGAGGAAATTTGGCAAGTCTCGAATGTTACTACGGCGTTTTTCCTTAGCACGGCAGTATTGAGCCACGCTAAGGAAGAACGCCGTAGGAACATTTAGAAGTTGCCAAATTTCCTCGGATAAAGTGTTTATTTTTGAGGAAAATTAAGAATATTTTTCCTTGAAATTTTCAGACACTTCAGATCAAATTACAAACGAAACTCTCTGAGAAATTGGCAAAAACAATTTCCTGAAAATGAGTGATTTGCCAGAGGAAATTTGGCAACGCCTGAAGGCTCATACGACGTTTTTCCTTAACACGGCAGTATATTGGGCCTCTTTTGAACCGCGAACCTTTGAAAGAAAAGACTGGCTTGCCTTCACTAACACAGGACGGAATTAGCCGGAATCGACCTAATTGCATTTCACGCCACCGAAGTTCCCCTCGTGTTTTATTATTTGAAAAGATCAAGAAGCAAAATTTTGCTGCAATATATATTTTTTTAAAAAAATGTTCGTAGATTACAATAAATGTAATCACAAAATTTTAAAGCAGTATGTTGCATGTTTGTCTCGGAAAACAAGTTCATTTCGGAACTGTTTTTCAATGCCTTTATCACAAACTGTCTACTCGTTTCTTAGTAATATTTGAAAAAACAATGGTGAAACCTAACTACGTTCATTAGACTACCATGATCAATTCTCTTGAAAGTGGCTTCAATCAAGTCTTTTCTTTCCCAGTTTCCGTGGCTTCAAGGGATGCCCCTTGTTATTCTATTAGATGAATTTACCGAGTTACACTGAGAATTGAAATTGATAAAGAGCGCTCTGTTACATAGTTTTTTATTATTGTATGATTATTCTAGATGTAAGAGATTTTTGCAATAATCTACATTTCCGATATTGAAGGTAGAATAATAGCCATAATTAACGGCTATTACACGTAAATCCATCGAGACAATGAACTTTGTTCCTCCAGATCTGTTTCGGATCTTTTCGATCGATCATTGTTCCCAATCAGATAGGTAATTTTTCTTTATTTCATTCTTAGATTAATATAAAATATGTTTACCCGTCCGAGGTTGAATAAATGTAAGTATTTTGTGAAATTTTAACCAAAGAATTTAAGGTGTATCAAAAGAGTATTAAATTTTCCAGATCTGCGTGCATACGTTAAAATATGTATACTTTTTTCAAAACCTATTTTGGTAGCTGATTAAAAAAGAGTCCCCGCACATAAGAAAACGTAAATCTTCATAATGTATTTTAGTGCCTTCAAAGTATTTTAAACAAGTTTTTACCACTTTGAATAAAAACAATTCACTTACTCTTCATGCACCCAAATTTTTAGGAGAAAATTCATGTTTATTTTCAGATGAGCCCCTTCAGAAGCTCCTTGCACATATAGAGCCATATTTGAAATCTGGTCTGAAAGTATTTATGTTCTCTTTCCTATGCATTTTTGAGTTTCGTAAAGATCTTTGTTGAGATCTTTACGAAACCCAGTTTTTAAGATCTTTGTCAGAGATATCCCTCGCATGCAGCATATTTTACAGAGAAATGTTTATCTGAAGATAGATCATGCATGTGACTAATGTTAATTGATGTTATGATAAGTGTACCTCACAATTCCACAACATCTCTGCTCTTCTGCTCACATACGGTTAAGAAAAGTTTAAACTGCACGAAACTGGCAAACACATTTAAAGTGATTTAGATCGTAATTGCAATGCACTGATGCTGTTTACAAGAGAAAAAGGACGAATCAGGATGAAAGATTTGCGCGTATTTGGAGGTATGGTTGAATTAACGCAGAACCCTACCAGAGAAGAAATTAACGAGGCTGCTTTAAGGGAATTCATTATAGTTCCATGTCATCTAGATGTCAGCTATTGCTGCAGATCTATCTTGTAAGGTTAGAATCATTTAAGTACCGCTCTTCCCTACAGATAGATCAACCACTTTAGTACGAGAAGATCTCACTCAGAGGCAATATTGATATAACATGTATTAGTTACCAATTCTAAAGCATAGCTGACATCGACTGCCAATTTTCAGCCCCATTTAGCCTGTCAACACTCTTGAATGGTCAGTCTAATATGGATATATCAGTATGATGAGCTTTTTAATTTCGACGAGTTTTGAATCGCTAATCTCTGCGGGAAAAAATCGCTTCTCCGTAGAACCATTTCAAGTTAGAAACTATGAATGGAGAATGGTTTTACACTCTGCAAGGTTGGATCCGTTTTTCTTTTTCCCTCTCCCCTTTTGAAAAAAGGATATTAGTACTATGGTTGTTTCAAAATTGAACGCAAAGTTTTAACTGCTATTTTGTCCTCTAAACTCTGGAACATGCGTAAGCAGTATTACCGCATTTATATTTTTTTACACTTTTGGATACCTCAATTTTTAGTTATTATCATGAACTGTGGATATTCCACATTGTGTCTCTTTTATTATTATTTTTACTGTAGATACATATTAAGACGTGTGTTCTTCCTAACATTTTTTTTATAAGTACGTAATACTTTTTTTACTCGGGTTTAACTGCTGCAACGCCATGTTTTTTTTTTTTTTTTTTTATTTCTTGACCTTTTTAACGCTTAAAAGCAGTGACACAATCCTCAATCGCCCATGCAAACGCAATTCTGTATAATATGAAGTGCCTTTTCACATTAGTTTGTTTGGCACCGAATATCGTGGCCCGGAAAATGTTTTTTCATGTATCAAGCGTGCAATGTTTCAAGACACATGTACCTAGTTTTGAGCCCCATAAAATGTTTGATATTGAATTACGCGCCGCGCTTGACTTGCTGATAATTGTCCTTTTCTGCGATACCGTGTTTAGCAAAATACGCGGATTTCCAAAACGGTTTTCGGTAGCTCTACTGATGGAGAGGCACCTCTTAGTTGGGCTGCATAGCCATTTTTCATTCTCTCTTGGTTTTAACCTCGTGTGAGTGAATGACTGCTATTCCCAAGATTTAAAGTGGAAAAATATTTAACTCTACACATTTGTATAAGGAACCACCCAAAGTATTTCTTAATCTTACGAATTTTCTCGAGCTAAGGAAAGTGTATCACAATAAAGAAATGATCACTCCTGCATGTTCCTTTGGGAAAATTCATAAAGTTTTGTTTTGTTTTCATATGAAATCCCAAATATTTGTAATTTATAAACCAAGGTTTTCTGTAAATTTTTATAAATATTAGTATATATCAACGCACTTTCCGAAGTGGGATTTTGTCAATTATCTGTATATATTTTTGCGTTAGTTTATCAAAGTTAGCTCGTTCTTATTTAAACCATGTGACCAAATCAACGTGCATTTGGAACGTAATCTCAATGCATTTATCATCAGCTAGTCATTTTGACGACTCGTTGCTGCACAAAAGAGAGTTCTTTCGATTTTATTATTTCCAATTTTGTTTTTTCGCCTAAATTTAATTTTGATTTTTGATTTTTGTTTTCTTTTCAAACAATATAAATTGCCTAATGTTCTACTCATAAAAAATGAACGTGATATGAGATAGAATATTTATATTTAATATGCAAAGTCTACTCTCCTATCTTTTCCCTAAGTTCAAGAACCTTAAGAGAAATGCTTCAAAAACTGCTCTACTCTGTCACGACTTCGTAGTATTTCCTTTTACATGTTAAGTTTTATAAAGAATATAAGTCAATATGTGAGATAGAAACGTTTCCAAATTATAAATCCATACGAAAAGGAAGTACATGAAATGATTTTCTTGTTAGTTTTCTTTTTATCAAAGAAATTATATACTTAAGAGTCGTGTTTTAGAGAGTTTTTAAAGAGAGCCAATCAGCTATCCATATCAGATATGTGTTTCACTCCCGAATTTCCTACGGCCTTTCGTAAAAGTAAAAATAAAATAAAAGCGAAACACACTGCTGATTTCCACTTTGTGGAACTTCTCAGTATGTGTCAGTATAATTTTTGGAATTCACTCTCTAATCTTTTTTGTCGTGCCATTTTACTGTTTGAGAAAACTGGAACTACTAACATCTGATGTTTTTAAAGTTATAATTTTACTCGGAATATGAGTAAAGTCGTCTTTTATTTTCTGATAAAACTATAGTACTTATTAGAGCATATTTCGTAATTTTTAATTCTGTTTTACTATCAAAATTCAGTTTCTTTAGAAAAAAACGTTACCCAATGGTATATTAAATTAAAAATTTGTTACAATATCCTAATTTGAAAGGTTATTATGAGTGACCTGGCAAAGAATTGATTATCTTCAACTTTGAGTTTTATAGGCGATTTATTTAAGTCCACGTGATATATTGAAAAAGTAATGGATTTCTGTACTATTACAAAAACTGTATTTAAAAAATCTGCTCATTGTTTTTCTCCATTTAAGACAATATTCTTCAATCGAGCAATAAGTATACATTCGTTTCCATGACAGTTTATCTGTAAATGTCTGCCTTATTATTGTAAGTTTAAATTTTGTTTTAATTTTAAATAGACTTTAGAAATTCCGTTTTATTTTCCTATTTGTTTGTTATTATTTGTATGATTTTGTAATTAATAAACTGTATTATCTAGGAGGTTTGTTTTTAGTTTCTTTATAATTTTATTTCAATCAAACTCGTAGGTATTTTATTTCTCAGGACTTCTGCAGAGTGTCTTAGATACTCATCTCTTGCAACAATTCACAACTATACAAGTAGTAAAGTGAAGGTGAAATTTTAAAAGCTAATAAATGAAAAGAAAATCCTTGCGAAAGAGTATGGAACTGCATGTGGAACTTTTTCCCCTTCGGAGAGCGTTCGTAATTTACGTGACGCACTTTTTCAGTATTCTTGACAACCCTCTACCCTTTAAACGCGTTTGTATAACGTAAGCATTTATCCTTTATCACGTAAAAACAAAATGGCGTAACGCGTTCGTCAACCCCTCCCCCTTCAGAGAATTATGTAATTTGTGAACATCCCCCAACCATAGTCCCAATTGATGTCTCCCTCAAAATATTTTTTCCCCGTGATAAATTAAAGCGTAGACATGCAGAGTGTGACTTTTTCGGCTAAATATCGCGTCTGAACATTCTCCTCCGATTTAATTTTCAAAAAACGCCAATTTTTTTCATTGCCCCGCAGCTTTCCACGTCAAAATACCTCCCCACACACAAAACGTAATTTGTTTCTCCAGACACTAAATAAAATTGACAAATGGATCTATTCCATTTCATGAGAACCTCAACTTTTCAAAATCAAACAGAGACGACTTTTGAAACTAAAAAGGCACTTCTACGTGCCCAGACAAGGTTGAAATGTCAAAGGTTAGAGTCGGTGTTTAATTTAGTAAGGTTAAGTAACCTTTAGGTAAGGTAACTAGGGTAGGAGATAATGACTAGCCGACCTCAAAATCATGAATCTGTGTTTCCTCAAAAGTGTAAGTCAGCTAATCTTCAACATTATATATTTTGAAATTTCAGCTACTTATAGCACGCCATACTGAATTTTATGTACATGTTGACGCTAAACACACATTCATGTATGGTAGAATTGAGCGTGACTTTTAAAAATTACTTTAACCTGAAAAATATTGGTCGTACTTCTGTTAGACGCTCTAGTTCTGGAATACAAAATTTCACCACGGATTATTCAAGAATACATATCTAATTATCCTAACATCAACTAAACGGCACGCAGTCTTACCTTCTTTGTAAGTTCTTACGCTACGTGCAAAACGTCATCTGAAATTTCTGACAATGAGGAATGGGACATTTTCTGAGCTTTTGAGTATCCTGAAAGCAATTCTCTATTCGATACCTGATGACAGGTCACTATTTTAGTTTAGCTTCTGTCCTTATAAAATCAAACCTCAAATCGTGTAATGATTTCATTCCAACTTTAAGCAAGAAGAAGCTATTTTTGCCGAACAGCCCGACTTCCCAAGACCACTTTGCTGCATGATATTTCCAAGCCGTTCGCCATTAACAGGAGCATCTCATAATTTTACCTTCTAAAAATCATTCTCTCTCCCAGGAGCCATGAAAGTGAGAACCTAAGTAAGTTTTTAATTCACTTTTCCAGAGGTGTAATGATTTGGAAGGGCGCACAGCCGATTTTAGTCATGCACCAGCTAGTAAAAAAGGGAGAGTTTTATAATCATGTTTTTTCGTTTTTCACCCGCGAGTAAATTTTTCTTTCACGAGCTCCTTCACATCGTGACGAAATACTGGATCCAAAATCTTAGATTGGATGTGATGTCGAGAAACTGAATAAGACGTTCAGTTTCTTAACATTCAATTTAAGATGCATGTTTTCCTTCTTTCTTTTTCTAGCGTACGCCACTTTTTAAAAATAACACACTACCAAAGGAGCTCTCAAAATCTCTCGCAGAATCATTCTAAGTCACAAACGGATGCTGTCTGTAACCAAAAATGCCTTTTTTTTAAAGTTCTTTAAATCTTTACGGTCATGAAAATTGAAATAAACCTCTTTAGGTACAAAATTTATTCACTATACCTCAAAATTCTTTGAAAAGTTTCTGCTGCACTTTTTCTATAAGACCGTAACCGAGTTGTGAGCAACAGTGGCGTGGCGTGCTTTGCGATATATCGATCGATCTAAGATTTAAACCTATGAAAAAGGATCGATTATTAGGGTGTTCGCAGCGAACACCCTAATAATTGATTCTTTGCCACAGCTCAAATGGGGAAATATCGATAGTCGATCATTCACACCTCGCCACTGGTGAGCAAATTGACTGCGTTGAGTTTCTTGCAGTCTGTGTATGTCCGAGTCTCACATTATTTAAAATTTCTGTCCAGCTGTGTTCGAAAAAATACTCATCCCAACCAGTTCTAATTCAATTTGCGCCACCACACACAAAGGAGGTGAGACTAAATATTGCTTCCAGAAACTAATTGAATGCTCACCCGCGCTCCTGATTTCAAACTTGCAAAGTTTCTTTTAGTTGCCCTGCATGACGTTCCTGACTTTTTTTCCTGTTTTTCAAGTAGCTGTATTTAACCGCATGCCCAGGTTTTCTGTATTGGATGCATGGATGATAGAACACACATGGATAGTTTTAGCTCGATTATTTAAAATAATGAAAATGCTGCTGAAAATTCAACGTCGATTAATATCAGGCCCATCAGATGATACAGTGCCTAGATAACCCTGGTAAAAATTGACGATAGGTGCTACGTTTCAAAATACCATAGGAGTTCTTAAAGCCGACTAAAGAAAAGGCTATTGAAAATCGTATAGCTGGCTGTAGAAAGCTGAGCAAATCATATATCCGGGCTATACGAAGCTATAAAAAAGTATACAGTCGGGCTATAGTTCCTATCGCCGGGCTTTACACTTTATCGCCATTGGCTATAAAAGACTATAAGAAATTGTGTAGAAATTCGTGTGCTTTGGAAATCATTAAGTTTGATACGGAACTACCTTAATATTTACAAAACACACATTATATTTTCCTTTAAAACATTTTTTTATTCATCAATTAAAATGAGAATAATCCATACAGAGTGTGCAAACATTTCAAAATCATGAGTTGAAAAACGCTGACTCCGCGAGACTAAATATTAGAGCCTAACACAAAGCGGAGCGGCGACGCACTGGCGCCTACAAACCTAACAGGGATACTTCACGCATTGCGCAATGCGTGAAGTACCCTGTTAGGTTTGAAGGCGCCAATGTGCGTTTCGCGCTCTCTGCCCGCCCGCCGCGCCGCAGCGTGCCACGGCGTCTGAAGCAACTATTTCACACCAGATGTATTGCACAGTATCATAAGAAATTGAAGGCACTCCAACATATTAAGAATAACAGGCATCCTTCAAAAGTACGGAGCTTTCCTCGCAAAATAAATCAAGATACTACGGCACAAAAAAAGAGCGGTAGTCCAAAAACTAACGAAGTCCTAGTATCCGTATTTCGTAAAGTTTAGCATAAAATTTATCGTCTGGCTGTTGCTTAATCGCCATCGGCTGTAAAAGGCTAAAAGAAATTGTACAGCCGGCTACAGAAGCTATTGAAAATCTTACAGCCGGTTTTAGGTCTATGGTATTTTGGAACACAGATTCTACTGCCAATTTTTACCAGGAAATGGATTTCAAATAGTCCAATTACGACCCTTTGCACTTATTCTAGTACCTTTACTGAGAGAATATCGTCATCTCGCCTCTTTACTGTCTCGTGGAGGCTCTAGGACCCACAAATAGCGTCAACATTGGAAGAGAGAGGCTTCTACCAAACTTCGCCGGTTACCATACCTGCCGCCAACTTTTCCACAAAAGTAAACTATGGTAAAAGTAGGTTTTTAACAATGACACCGAAATTTAAATAATAAATGAGTGTGGATAAATCCGAAGATTCACGTTATTAAAACCAATTTTATGGTCATTAAAGGCAAATAAAATCAAATTCTCGGTTATAATAGTCTACATAAGCCTCCAAAATTCGCTATTTCTGGGTCCTATAAGAGCTTCCAGAACTTGGCCTGCAGTTTTCAACTACTTGGCCCTTTGTATTGCGACTATTGTTTGCTGTTTGCCTGTTTCGCAAGGAAGGCAGTTCTGGGGACCGGGGCTCAGACGTCTTTACTTTGAAGGCGTCAATCAAAGTCAAGCCTAGGGCGCCAAAAATGCACAGCCAGTCCTGTCGTGGCGATATTCTACCCTTACTCTCCATCTTGAACATATTTAAATGTATTTCTGCCAAACGAAACTATGTGCATTATGACGTGAGCCCTGTTATGCATAGATTCTTGAACCATCTATCATTCTTGAACCTCTATGAACCTCTTTTATGTTCTGTAACAATGATCAATTACACCCATTTATCATCACCCCCTCAGAATTGGACTACATTTTGCAATTAGGAATTATAAATTCCGGCCCGGTTTAAAAACAACGTATGTGCCATTAGTTTCCCTGTGCTCATAAGTATGTTTTCTCAAATGAGCCAGAATTTATAGGTCCAAATTGCAAAATGCAGTCCAATTGTACTCTGAAATAAAAACTGTGAGTAAATTTTACCATGAAACCTTGCCTAAGAATTTAAATCATCTTCCGTTAAATGAATTGGAAAAATTGTTAAAAGTATCTTGTTCATTGTCTCCAGATAAAATTACGTATTATATGTATCTCAGTTCCGGTTAATTTCAATAATTCAAAATTTTCAATCATTTCAAATCATCAGAGGTTCTTCCTCATCATAATAGAAGTCCATTTGTGTTTGCACAACCATATTGACGATGTGTTTGTTCTGTTGGAGCAGCAGCGGCGTCACCACGGGAGCCAGCAGTCGCACCGGGATCGCGAGCGAGAGCGTGACTCGAAGAAGCGTTCGTCGGCGTACCGCTCCTCGCGCGAGTCGCTCAACATGTTCGCGGACCTGCAGCAGATGAGCAGCCACCACTCCGGCGGGGGCGAGCACAGGCATAGCAACCACGGCGGCTCGAGGGCGGCCAACAGCTCGCAGAGCCGGATGAACTCCTACTCGCGCTCACAGTCCCAGGCGCAGAACCACGACACGTCCTACTCCTCGCACCCCGATCTCACCTCCTCCTACTACTACCCCAAGCAGTTCCACCTCACCTTCCCCCACAAGCCCCACGCCAACTTCAACGCCTACCAGTACGACAACATGAAGACTGTTAATTTACACTACTCGCCCAATAGCTTCAACAAGGCCGAGATCTAACTGCCTTAACCCCTCGCCGAGTCGCCGCCTTTCTACACGGAGAAAAACAGTTCGTGCGTGGGACCCTAAGTTGAGGTCATATGGATCTCCGAAGTTTTCAGATCACGTATCTAAAAACTTGAGGTCCAGCTGCCGAAGTTAGGGTCAGACATCTGAAGTACTTCGATACATACCGAAGGGTTCGGGTCACACATCTGAAGTACTCCGGTACATACCGAAGTGCCTCGATGTCTCACCTTAACTTCGGCAGCTGGATCTCAAGTTTTTAGCTACGTGATCCGAAAACTTCAGAGATCCATATGACCTCAACTTCGGGTCCCACGCACGATGTTTTTTTCCCCGTATACTGCCGCGTCTACGAAGAACGACGTATGGGCCTTCAGATGTTGCCAAGTTTCCTTCGATAAAAACTGAATTTACTGGGTGAATTGTGAATATTTTCCCCGAAATATTTAGACAATTTCGTGCGTGATTTAATCTAAACTATCTCAAAATTTCAAAGAAAAATGTGCGTGGATGTCGTCAAAAACATATGTTTTATCAGGGGAAATTTTGCAACCCTCGATTGTTCATACGTACGGCGTTCTTCCTTCGCACGGCAATCTAGCGCTCCGATTATTGAAATTCTGTGTTTGTCATCTGGGTAATGTAAAATTCCACGATTAAAAATGTTGGCGCCAAGCTCGGAGTGCATTTCATTCCGAAATCTGTTTCACCTCGAGTGATACAAAAGAGGAGTGAAATTCACTCCATAGGAGCGGCATTTACTCCGCAAAAAGAGTTGATTCCACTCCCACTCTCGAATCACTGGGCGTAGATGGCCCCTTCATTGAAGTTCATCCTAGATTTTATTCTTAGATTCTAACCAGTATATGGTGGGATTGAGTTATGCGTAAAGCTACGACCGGTCTTGTCAGGATTCCTCACCCCCGGGGCCATATTGGATAGAGTTAAGGACGAGTTAAAAACATTTCTTGGGTTGCCGATGATACGTTGTCATCAACTCATCAACTGCAACCGATATAAGAAACGACAAAAAAAAAAAAAAAAAAAAAAAAAAAAAAAAAAAAAAAAAACCTACGGATATAGGTAGCCGAACCATAACATTCCTTATTAAAATACCTGCCCTAGTTGAAGACCACATAATTTCTCTAATCGGCCCGCTGCTAGGGCTTTGAAGTAATTTTCAGTCAATCGAACATGTGAAGATACCCGGGGGAAAAGGATGGTCGTGATTGCTAGATGCATTGTATTTGACTCTCGCAAAATTCTGTAATCTCCATTGAGAATGTAGCATTGCTAACCATTCCTCAATCATATTTGAACCGCGCGTTTTGTGCACCCGTCCTAAACATACGTTGTCATGAGCATGGCATAGAATTGTTTTCTGAGGGAAATGTTGGGAATCAGGACCATGTCCATTCGAGGATTAAGCATTCTGAAGGGTCGTGGGCCTTCTAGGATTCCTTTTTCTATATGCTTAATAATTCCGTTATCAGTTCTCGATGAGTCTCCCAAACCGTAATTACATTCCCTTTTAACACAAGTTACCAGTGATAATTTATTTTAAGTAAGGTGCGCCCCATGGTCTCCCAAAAACTGATTGTGTTACTCTGATTGCCATTGCTTGGATATGGCAAATTACAATGACTTGTCATCAGAATCGATTTGAGAGATAGAAGCTTAGATTTTAGGTGAATGTTGGTAAGAACTAAATGCTTCAATCGAGAAAAAAGGAATTTGTATCGTGTGTCACCAAATCGATATTTTTGGATCTGCCTCAAGACTTGTGATGAAGCTTGCTGGTGTGACAAAAAAAGAACTAAGATCCTGGTCCTCAGTATCTTCCAGAAGATTTATACCATTATACCATGTTCAAGGAAGTTTTTCAGGACCAAAGATGATTAATGATGTGCGCCTTCATTTTGCAAGTAATGCAACGTGGGCCAACACATGCAAAAATGACTGAAAATTACTTGAAACCTTATTAGAACGGTAAAAAAAGACGATGGATAAATTTTCCCGTAAGTGGTGATAAATTCAAAGTATTCTGGTTTTTACTTCGATCAGACATTGTCTGTTCAGGTCGTCCCTGTATGGTTCAGTATAAAAACGTAAAATCGCCTAATTTTCCTCTATTACATTAAAATGAAAACGAGATAAGTTCAATGGCTGCAGTTATATTCTCAGCCAAAATTCTGATGGTCGTATGGCATCATTCGTGTAATTTAGTATCTTCATAGAAGCACGCATACTATATACTGGCAGATGTATTCTCACATCCGCTGGTACAAGTGGTACACCCTATGATATTTGCGAAAGATCTTAGAGTATATTATTACTTTTGCCGTCTCCCATATTTTATGCAACTATGAATATCTTCCGATTCTCCACCACATTGAAGATTTTTTAGACGTGACCCGTCTCTTACTCCTGCAGTTTTCGGTCTGCATTACCTTCAAATAAAGCAAAGAAGAACGGTAATCCTACACTTGAACTTTCATCGAACGAAAGTTTCAGGGGGTTGCAGAAACGGGATAGCAGTAGAACTTAACAAATCGTCAACAATTTTTATCATGCTTGTATTTCTTGTCTCATCCAGGGACGACCTTTTTATGAACACTTGAATATTCAATTCCTTTCTGTTAATCAAACTTAAGTGCTCAGACTATTTTTAGATTTTGTTTCAAAGTTTTTATATTTAGACTGTACTTAATTACCATTTTAAAATTGTTTTATCGCAAGGCAGTTAAATCAAAATGGCAACTTCAAAAATCTAATTGTCGCCTTCGAAAAAGGAAAATGCACCAATGGTGTTGCGAATGAAGTCTTGCATTACACGTCTATGACGTACTACTTACATCATTCATGCATAAGACATAACTAATATTTCTAGACAATCCGAAAGCTTTGATAGCCAAAGTGTTGAATTCATCCTTGGAAGTTCATCGACAAAATATTCCTCGAATCACAGAATTAAAAGAAAAATACCTACGATTCTTACTTTTTAACATCTTTAGCTTATTCAAAATATATGAATCAAATTTCACGTTGATTTGTTTTTTACTTTAAAAAAGAGCACATCAGTTGAGCTACATTATAAAACTCTTATTGTATTGTTTCTAAAATATTGCGTCATTTAATTACTCTTTTAAGCGGATAAAACAAATCTTTTTACAATTTCCAAGAAACTTTTTTAGGTAAGGAGAGGAAAAAAATTGTACTAATTCTTACAAATAAAATAAATTTTGTCCTCCATTGAATGGAATAAAATATGAGTGTTCCAAAAAAAAGAGAAAAAAATATCAAACTTGTTTTAAACGTCCAAATCTGACTAACTGTTGAACTTCAAAACGTTTGACTTCATTTTTGTTCTTGACCGTTTAAATTTTCTAATATTTAGTTCAGGCTCCGATTCTTCGAGAAACTTTTGTTTCAACAATTCAGAAACGCTTTCACCGATGTCTAGTCTCTTTGCAGCTCAGAGCAACATAAAATTTGCATTTCCATTTTTACTGGTCGATATCATTGCAAGGGTAAGAATGTGCCATTCTGATTAAACGGTTTGGGATGTTATTGTATATATTTTATCATATCGTTTTCATCTTTTACATACATATTTATAAAGATACCATTTTTTATGTATTCTTTGAAAGTGAACCAAAAGTAGGGATTTCAGCTTTATTAAACCTGGCCTCTACGATTCCATAATCTACATCTCTGCAAATTATGTTGGAGATTGGGTAGATTTTCTTTCAGAGAAAGTCCATCCTACAGTATATCGGGTAAATATTTAGAAATTCTACTGTTTTCTGAGAACTCTTTGATACCCATAATTTTCAATGGATTCTGAATTGTTTTAGATTTCCCTGCGTATGTCTGAAATAGGAATGCAAGATACGAGTTAAGAATTTATAAGTATCGAAACTTGTGATAAAAATAACGAAACCTGGTAATTTTCGGTAGGTAGATGAAGAGTGTGGCCAGAGAAGAGCAGCGAGGACTTTTAAGTTGGCTGATACAGGATTTATGTGAAATAAAAATACTTAATAAGAAATTGCCGAAAAATCGCACACTTGACATGTTTAAGTATTTTAGTTCCTTTATGTTGAAGTTCATTTCATTCTATCATAGGAAAAATCAAAGGAAAGGATGATAAGAAAGATGTAAATTTACTCTATGTATTTTTCAGGTACCAGGTATTCAGGTTTTTTCATGCTTAAGAAAAAGGAGTATCTAAAGAAGATCATGAAACGCACAAACGTGATGGCATTTAAAGAAATTTTAAAATAATTTCACGTAAAACATTGACATTTCACAAATCTGATTGCCAATAAAGTTTAGAACTGAGTCTTCGATCTCAAATTTTTAGACCTAAGTTGTTTTGCCGATAAATTATTCCTAGGCAGCAAAATTTTACTCTCCACGCTGTACGTCTTAAGAGACATATCCCACCGAAGTTCAATTAATATTACATTATCTGGAAAAAATTTGTATTGTGAAAATCAAAGTTTCGCCTTTGATGATTAAAATGCTACAGAAGTGGCACGACAATAAAGAATACTCGATTTGTAAATAATATACATAAGTGATAAGAGACAAAGTAATTCCTGCTTCACATTTTCGTCACGATTCAATTACAGAGAACATTCCTCGAGGTAGTTTTTAGTTCGTTAGACTGTCACTTTGAAAATGTTGAAAACTGCAAATATTGATGACTGTTATTTTTTTGTAATTTTGAAGTATATTTCTTACTGTTTTCATGTTAAAACCTTATTTTATTTCATACTCACCTTTATTAACTGTCACATTTAAGAAGGTACATGGGAATTTTTCCCCTTTCCACAAGGGCTTTAATGAAAAGAAGATGCCCTCTAAACATTTTTCATGCCGCTTAATTTTACAGCACATGAGAAAGCATCATGTAAAATTATAATTTAAATTGTGTGAGAGACTGTCCAGAAGATGCAGCAATTATTTCACTTTCGAATCCAGCGTTCGTTCGTCGGCCTAGACCGAGCAAAAATACCATGATATTAATCAAAACCAGCACTCATTAGGTACGCATAAAGAATTCACCCTTCCTTGGCACTTCCCTATACTCTTGCCTTTACAGTTGGCTCCATATTATTCTTAGTAAAACAACAAGAGGAATTAATGAAAAGGAATAAGCACTAGACAAGAAACTACCGTTCAAAATTGTTTTTTGATTACTGATTTATCTTATCTTGCTGAAAACCATAATCTTGAAAGCTGTGTTGAAATCTTGTCACCAACATGGGCCGTTTTGAACTACGTTGGTGAGTGTATCATGGTATCAAAATGGCACCGAAGTGGTCTCAACATTGTTCCATGTCGGTGTGTATTCCTCATTTTAATTTTTTTTATCATGTGCCATAAGTTACGTAGAAGCGGTGCAGAGTTGTGGTGAGGAACTGGTCTAAGCTCATCAAGTATTATTATTGTGACTGATATCAATGCTTACCTGAGCGTCTTCAGGACCGGTTTTGATGATACTTATGCTAGGTTGCCAAAGCGCAAAACTTAATTAGTAGTGGCAATAAATTATTAAGATTCTTCATTTCGAGCATAACGCTCTTGTTTAGGAAACCGAATACTTGCTACATTCAGAAAAATCCATTTTTATGTGTGAGGATCAAATTTAATCACTCATTTATTCTTTCTCATACTCTCTCCTGTCTTGAAGTTTGATTCAGCCACATTGAAACTTATTCACGCCTTTAAAAATTCCAATGCTTTCATATAAGCGCACGCGCTACGTAATGAAACGCCTACTCTCAAATCTTGCAATTAGTTTTTCATCCATGAGTTTAAACTTTACGCCTCAGAAAATAAACAGAAATCGAGTAGATTTTAGCGGTTTTGGCAAGCATGATATATGGATTACATTTTGCAAAACGGAATCAAGAGCATATTCAAATGTACCTATAAGATTGTGCAACTTTCTTTACTTTGCAAAAATTAACTGATCATCTACAGATATTACACTTCCTTACCCAATAAACTATGGATTCAAAACGAAGATTACCTTTGCCAATGTAATTTTTTGCAGGATCTTAGTAATTTTGCAAAGAATGTAAGTTGCACAGTCCTAGCAATGCTCTTGGAATGGAATGCTCTCGGTTCTTTTTGTCAAAATGTAATACATATGACAGTCGGCTAAAAACTCAGTGCGTCTCACAATCAGTCCAGTCCCCCAGAAGTGCACTGCTTAAAAAATCAAGCCACTTCGTCGATCAACATGCGGAGCAAATCAGCGAAAGCGGAAATACTCCAGTATCAGAATAAACGAAATTATGTTAATATTTCAGTCATATTCGGGAATTGGAGCTGTTATCTTTACATTAAACAGGATGGGCAAGGGCAATGTCTCAACAATAGCTTTGATAAAATAGTCTGCAGCATCGGAACCACAGTTTATCTTTTTTTGTCTAGCTACACTGTTTCAATTTTAATGATTTTATTACAGTGCACGGATGTGTATTGTGTACCTGTAAGTTACACGCACGCCAGGCAGTCTAGTTTCAGCATTCACATTTCCTCATCAATGGCTTCTTCCGAAAAGAGTAACAATAATGAAGAATTTTGAAAGGTGAATATTCTAGGGCTTAAATGGGTGAAGAAGCCCATCAAGTTGGAAATTTAGGTCACAAATATGCAGGCCTCTCGATTAAAAATGTATACACCGTACATTCAAATGATATTTACATGCACGTGGAACTTTTGAATTATTAATTCAATTCATTCCAATTAAATAAATTGATTTTAAAGAAAAAAATTTACATGATTTGACTGGTACTATTAAAGGGAGGATTGAGAGCACGTTGACTGAACTTCTACAAAAAAGAAAAAAAATAATGACATAATTTTGACATCGTCTGCGTGGATAAAATTTTCCGTTTTAATGGTCCTAAAGAAGAAAAGAAAAGGAAAGGAAAGGAAACAAGGAAAGAAAAAAAGCGTGTGTGCGCAGGTAGTCACTCCACGAATTTCAAAAATTATACGTAGGTAAATGGGAGGTAATCTTTTCAATGGGAGGGTTTTTTATTAACAGATTTCCTCGTCGAATCACAAAAACGAAAAAATATGCTCAAATTGGCACCATTGGAACCAGTCTTGCCGCATTACTGCGATGATGAGCGCACTCGACATTGAAAACCCAGTCTTTTCTTGGCGCCCGCCGAAGTCTCAGTAATTATCGCTCACGTTTGCGCTGTGACGGTCGGTTGGCGCAACATCATTTGTTATAGTGTAAAATATTTTGATTTAAGTATTCATTAATATATATTTATTAGTGTTTTTTGTGAATTTTACACAAATTGATCGTAGGCACCACAATCGCCCGGAATCAACCTTACTAACATTCAATTTTCACAATCACTGTTTTTCAAGATCCTTCCAAGTTTACCAAAGACCTGGTAGGTTCCAGCAGAAGCTGTATTGTAGTGTTAAATGTTAGTTAAATGAATATGCGCGAATATCATGACAGTCTGTCATTGACAGAGGTTTCGTGATTTTGCGTGTGTGTCTTCTTTAGTGTCTTGTGGGTTTCTTTTTTTCAATGCTATATATTCATTCGTCAAACTGGAAAATACACATTGTGCGTTGCGATTTGATGCCTCTAAATCATGTTCTTATCACATGTTTCTAAAGAGTAGAATCTGCAACATATCATTCTGTGTGCCCGTATAAAAGACTCTCGGTGGGAGAAAAAGAGGTGTAAAAAGAATGAGAGGATAAAGGAGTATGGAATTCTGTGGATAGTTGTTACAGAATTAAGGCTTAAATTGATTGAGCCGAGACAATGATACAGAGTGTATACCAAAAAAACTGGTTGTACGAAAATGCGTAAAGTAAGCGTAGTTAGAATCTTTGCGATATATTCTTTTGATTTCTTGCCGTCGCACGTGAATGTTGCTCGCAGGAATGGTTAGTCATCTTCACCTGTGTCAGAGTCTCGACTGAATTTATTCGTTTTCTCTCAGTCAGTGGTGCTTAATGACGAATGAGATTGTGCAACCTGAGATGCTAATTTTATTAAGTTCAATCAATAATTAAAGAGCTGAGGTGTCATTTTGACTAATCTGACGTCGTAAGTGAGAAAATTAGTCAAGTAAATTGTTTAATACGACGATCAGCAACTATACTCGTGTATAGTAGAACTTTTTCTCATTCAATGATTTTAGGGATATTTCAATGTTTTTCCCTCTTATTTAAGGGAGATTTAGTATCAACAGATAGGGCACAGAATAATCAGTAAAACGTAATGATGGATCCCGGTTCGTATTCACGTTCTCATACGTAGGGAATTACTTTTGATTTTGGAATGACCATCTCTCCATCGTATTACGAGGAAAATGGAAGAAACATGGCTAAACGTTAATGAGACACGAACCGTGACGCTGTAAGTCACGGAATGTGCAATGCTGGTACATATCCGATGGGATTTCCAAGCGGTAAATATTAGTCAGATTTTTCTAGCTTGCTCTGATAGCTATACATATAGCGATAATAAAACTTCCAAATCACGTGCTTCGGTTTGCGACGTTGCAGACTTTCTGTCATACTTTATTTTCTAAATAGAAAACGCTATGTACTCCACGTCAACTCTTAGAGATTAACGCAATTTTACTTCTCTGCACGCAAAAAAACTCTGAGAAAATTTCAAGTAATTATGCTAATACGTCCTCCTTTAAAAAATTAAGTAGGAGTGGAGTGCTTTGAAAACGCCATAGACGAGAGATACGCAATTTGGGAATTTCACGGTCGATATACTGAGCCCATACAAATTAATTATGTGAGAATGACTTATGGATCCGCCGGCACAGCTATAACAAATATTTACGCAAAGTTTTTACTTCACAGTCTTTTTTCAACATTTACATTGAAATGCTACTCTAGATTGGAAAGGCTTAACTTATTATGTCCATTCAGACTTATTTAAATACCACGAAGTAACATCACCGCGTATCCGTTGTTGTGGCTGTTGATACTTTTTTCTACTTCAGTCATGAATGCTAATTGATTGTTGAGTGTACCAAAATGTATCGAGGGAATACTGGAGTCGAGGACATCCTCTTTGCTGTCGGTTCGCTAACCGCCTCAGTCAGACAAATCAGGCATACTCATCATGTTAATTAGGGGATCATCATAACTCATGATACGGGCGGACAGAAAGTGATCCTTAAATAGAAGCTGCTCGTTTTGGAGGTAAAATGAGTGGAATTAAAGACAATCCTTAAGAGCATACTTCCGTGCTAAGAAAAAAACACCGTATGTCGCACGTTGCCAAATTTTTACCGATACAATATTTATTTTCGAGGAAGCATATAAATATTTCTCCTTGTACCTACTTCAGGTTGAATTGTAAATAACACTCTCTGAAACCTTGGAGGACAGAATTCACAAGTTTTCCCGAGAATTCGTATTGTATGAAGTAAATTTGGCAAGCATAGGCTCGCACAAAGTCTTTCTTGTGCACGGCCGTATTGAAGAACATCTTACGTCACCTTTACATACTATACATATAAGCCGTCACATTTAGATCATGTCACGTATATGACTCATTTGTTTCCGTTCCAGGTCTTTGAAAACAAAGGAAATGCTGAAATCTAAAAGAGGTCATGGCGTTTGTAATCACTTTTAGGTACAGTCTCTGAAATAGGTACGGCATTTGTTGCAATTACAATTTAATTTGTTCTAGAGGTCATTCATGAATTACGTAAAATCTTTCATTGCAGAAGTTTCTCAAAACGTGTAGGGTGAGGGAGAAGTATAACTGAGAAAATAATCTGATAATAGACTTCCTAAATCATGGACGGTCCCACTGAATCATTGTTGAATCCTTAGACGAAAAAGATGCGGGAAAAGACACTAATGACGCTTCAAAAGTCATTTTAATGTTTTCAAATTTTAATCATATTTTCAGTTATACATGTATTCCTTGGAATTTGTGAGCTGCGTGGAAAAAAATAAAAGCAATAAAATTAATTCCAAATTGCTTCAACTTTTTCACTCATAAAAAATAAAGCAATTAGCATTTCGAGCCCCACAAAACACTGAAGTTTTTGTTTGGCTAATTAATTGGTTTAAATTGAAAATTTTAATTTAAGAAAGTACATGTCAGGCCTTACATAGGCCTTACTTTATGATTTATAGCGTTTAAATTGCTCACAGGATACAAAAACGCTGAATAATTGAAAATGCACGGAGAACGCAAAAAATAATGAGACTTGTGATGAAACTCTGAGAGAACGGGGAAAAATCGCAAAAATCGGTGCTTAATGAATAAAACTCTACTGAGCTTGTGCAATCTCATGGAAAACACCGATGCAAAACATATTGTGCTGATTTCTGAAACTAACTCACCCAATACTCGCATAAAAGTATTTACTTTTACAATCACAGTGAATAAAAGAAATCCGGAGGGTCTATGTTTTCATTTAAATGGTTTATTTTTAATCAGTTAATTATCTCAATATTTGTCTCGAGTTCAAAGATATTCACGTGAAATTTTGTGAAAAAAAATTACACGACTTAACCCACAACGCGTCTGTTGGCCCGACTAAAACGGCAATTGTGTCTACTTATGACAGTACTACTTATGACTACTGTATGCAGACCTTATATAAAAAAATGACACAATCTTTCTTATTTTTAGCCTCAATTATGCCGTGCCTCAAATTCATTAAGGAAGTTACTTTCTTCACATCATTGCTCTTAAGTCTTCAGTGTACACTTCAAGCACCACAAAGTAAGTTCTAACAAAGTTCAATTTCACCTAATCCCCAAATAATTTACTTTTCTCGCAAAAAAAGGAAACTCCTCTAATAGCAAGTATGCTCAGATTGGCTGCGTTGAAAGAGGTTCATTTATAATCTGAATCGCTGGTTATGATTTTCGGTGACGTTTAATTGACCGTTGGCCTATATAAAATATATTGAAAATGCTTAAAATTACTTACAATCATAACGGAAATGACTGACTTTAATTGCCTCAGTCATGCCATATCCATCTTTATCGGAAAAATTCAATCGTCGCACAGAGGATCGAGTCAATTACCTATATAGAGAGGTCGAACATGACATTTTTGACAAAAACTGCGAATTTTGATGTTTATTTTGTCACATTTTGAAGTTAAAGGGGTGTTCCTACTAGAAAATTTCACGAGGAAACCAATAATCACATTTTTAGATCTTCAAAGTTTTGTATGAACGGAGTTACAAGCGTTTAAAGTTTCCAAATTTTGTCCGACCTTTACCATTGATTCGATCCACTGTGCGTCACGTCGTGTCAACGGTCTCGTGGCATCAAAAAAATCATTCTTAAAAAAGAGAGTTACACCGACTTTAAGGGGTTCTGAGTGTGAGGACTAAGTGAAATACACTTTCTCGATTTTTTCCTTCTTAAAACTGAAGAAATAGTGATATTTACAATATGAAAATCAACATATAGTCTCATTTTTTGACTCGCCAAAGAATGTGTCTGTAAACATACCCGGAGTAGCAATGAAGTGACTGTAGCGTGCCATGGCGGAATGAGACGTCGTAACACTAAATAGTTTTAAAAAGATATGTATGATTGAAAAAATAATTATTGAATACCACGAGGAAAATAATGATACCATAATCACTGAGAGAGTGCCGCCATTATGCAAATAATTTATTACTTTTTCTATATATTTTGCGCTGAATATCTTATGAGAAAAGTCGTATGAGTATTTGTGGAATGCTGTTGGGAAAAAAAAGTTGTTATAATAATGTTTGAGTGAGCCCATCAGACATTTTCCTCTTACCTTCAATTTGCTGACACATCCCAGCATGAAACTTAAAACTCGGAATTATTAAATCGATGCACTCGCAGTGCTTTGCCATGTCAAGTATAGGAGATGCCAGAGAATTGATTCATCGTTGGTTAGTAGAAGCCTTTATTCTTGTTGTGTTTCAGATATTCTCGTGGTGAGGACCCTATGGTAAGAAATTTTATTTTTTCCATGGGTCATTTTTTTACAGCAAATGTGATAGTGCATTCTTACAAGTCTACTTTTCTGTACCTGCGTTAAAGTCTCCACGATAATTTCATCCTGGAGGTCGAGTACACCAACCAACTCAGCAAATTACATTTAGCTCCAACCAAAATTATACTCCTCATTGAATTCGAACCTTTTCAACACTGCCGTGCTAAGGAAAAACGCCGTATGAACAGTCGAGCGTTGCCAAATTTCCTGCGATAAAAAGTATTTTTTTAAGGAGAGTTATGAATGTTTTTTCTTGATATTTTCAAATAATTTAGATATAAATATAAAGAAAATACTCAGAAAAATTGAACTGAAATCATTCACGAGTATTCCCGAAAATTTATATTTAATCAAAGGAAATTTGACAACTGACGGAGGTTCATACGGCGTTCTCCTTTAGCACGGCAGAACGGACCTGTGATATTATCATTTGACTGATCCTGCATACACTAATTTAGTTTAATTTTTTAAAACACTTCTCAAACGTCGGGTTTTTTAGTGTTTAATCATTCGATTTGGAGGATTTGACATTTATACATCACAAAAACTTTAACCGGATCAATATTTACGACTAATGGATATTATTTTTCATTATTTAAGAGAAAAAACTTCGTCATCGCACTAATTGATTACCTTGACTTAAAAGTAGGTGGTTTATACAAAGCAACGACTCACCTTTTACGGAAAAATCGTCGTTTCCCATACAGAGGAACATAACTCTATTCCAAGGTTGCAAAATTGACTATAAAAATTGAATTTTTCACAAGAATGTCTCCGTTCAATTTTTCCCCAAATTGTGTCTGATTTTTGCTAGAGGTCAGAAGAAAAATCAGTGGAATTTTTAGTTGGAGACGCCCAAGTTTCTCCTGGTGAAAATGCAACTTGCGAAGAAAAATTTGACAACCTTGAAATGTAATTATACGCTATGCTGTGAGGACGACAGAATATGGACACAGAGATGTGGCCCAGATTGTCGGTAATACTGTCGGTAAACCTTCTACTTCAAAAACGTGCATTTTGTACTTAGGTTTCTAAGTAATTGGACCTTGACATTTTTGCAAACATATACTCTCATGTGTTTAATTAGAAAGTATGTTTCTGAAAAATCTCTTCGTTAATCCCCTGTCTTGAAATATTACTTTTCATTAATTATCTGTTCATTTTGCAGATGACGTGTTGACATCCGGCCGCGGTGAGCGCTGTTTCACACCGAGCAATGAAGTGGGGACCTGTGTGCGGTTGGAGGACTGTCAGTCCCTCCTGGCCCTCGGTCAGAAGCCGGCCCAATCGCGAGCAACGTACTACCTCGAGAAATCCACCTGCAAGACTGATAACCTGAAGTGCTGCCCAAACCGGGATTTGAAAAATCCATCCCGTCCCACCTCCAGCACCCAAAATTCAGCCCCCATAGATTTTCCCACGAATGCACCGAATTCAACCGAATTCGTTACTCCGGTTTGGCCGCCAACATCGGGTTCCAGACCGTCGACGACAAGCTCCAGACCGACGACTGAATCCAGACGGCCGACCTCTTCATCCAGACCAACGACTACTAGAGCGACATGGACTACGTCAACAACCGCAGAGTCCAGGCGAACAACGACCGCGTCTGGTTCAACGACAGATGAGTTTCGGCCGACAACAAGAGGGTCTCAATCAACAACCACTATGCGGTCGAAGACGACCTCGGGGCCGAATAAGTCGCAAAACTTGACAAGAATCAACGAGAGAATGAAACTGTTGCCGTCTGATTGCGGGAAGAGAGAAGTGTCTCCGCTTCAAAGAAAAGTCGTGGGAGGTGAACCTGCTGTTTTAGGTGAGTTAACTTTGTGAATTGCATGTATTGAGGAACGATCGGTTTCCTCTCGGAAGGCGACGGCGTGGACGTCCCGTGAAAGGTTGGTGACAAGGGGTGGAGGAGGAGAGCAGAAGGTGCCAATTGCCTGATAATCTCTGGGAGGATATAGGGGGCAATGGCGATTGGGCGTCGCAGAGCGCATAATGTATGTATGTATTGAGTGTATGTATTGAGGAGCTTTGCCTAAAAGTGTCAGTGGTAATTGACACTTAATTGGACGTATTTCTGTCAAATGGAACTAAGCACCAATTTGAGTTTCTTTTGAAGAATTTAGAATGCCGGATAGCGCGTTCTGTCAAACGGAACTAAGCGTCATGGAAAAGCATTGAGAGCATAGGACGGAAATTCAGTGAAATTTTCGGCCAGCTTCGTTGAGAAATTTTTCTGTAAATAAATTAAAAGGCAGCGGAAATTTTGAAACGTCACATACGGCGCTTATGATACTTTGGCCGGAAGATGATTTGATGATTATTCACACCATCACTGCATCTGAGGATTTAAAATGCTTTGCTGGCCTCAACGCCAGACCGACCTTCCCTCGAAATTTAAAAATATATTTTAAAAAGCATATCGTGTTCGGTAAATAGTTTGAAATAACTACACAGAATCGATTTATCTAAGTAATGGTTTTAACCTAGTTATGTATTTGTATCCAACCATTCATTCCTGCATCAATTTTTAATCGCTAGGTTACCGATGAAAATAGGAGGGATCAATGAAAAATTACAGTTGAAAAATGCAGGAAACGATAAAGGTCTTGTAATATTTTTGATTGTATCATTATTTTCCATCATGTTTACTGCATACTGTCAGTTTGTAGCTTTTTCCCCCTATTGTTGAGCATCATAGTGGAGAGTACTTTCTTTCATACATTTCTTTCTCATTATTTTCCCTCTTTTATAAAACATGTTTCAATTTTAGGCGAATATCCATGGATTGTGGCACTGGGATTCCGGAATCAATTTATTGCGGATGCTGTCCCGAAGTGGAGTTGTGCGGGCACTTTGATTACTGACAGACACGTTGTAACTGCTGCTCACTGCGCCAGAAATGGTAGAAACATGATCATGCAAGTAATTTATTCCCATTTATCCCTCCAAGAGTTAAAGTCGCAAAAATATATGGAAATAACGCAAAAACTGGCGATAAAATTATATTTTGTATTGGTGGTTTATAATATGTATTATGCTCCACAACATGTCATGGCTACAAGGCACCTGTAGTGAGTTCTAACATAACTTCATAGAGGCGTCAAGAAAAGGGTACATAAATTTTGGAAGTTGAAGTAAAACAGAAAAATTTTTAATTGCAAAGTACTAAAGAATTTAAGGATTCCTGCTCATTGATTTCGAATACATCTATTTCAACATTAAAGATATTAGTACATAAACAGCAGCACGTTAACATACAAATTTTATTTACCCTACATTACCTAAAACACAAATAAAATCCGAATGCTATTGCCATAATGCATCGACGTAATGCTTGAAGACGGAGAATTCGCCAAGCCCTGGAAACAGGGAAAACTGGTACTTCTTCCAAAATCTGGGGAAAATGTTCCGAGTGAAAATAGACCGATATTTATGTTTTCTTTATTTAGCAAAATTTTCGAATACGTGATCTCAGTTCGTCTGCTTTCCAATGTGTCACTCAAAGATAGACAGTTTGGGTTCCTTGAGGGTCGCTCAACTGTGCAGGCCCTGCAATGTCTAAAAAGATTCTTTGAGCAGATCAAAAACTGACGTAAGAGGGTTGGGGTATCTTGCTCGCTGTTGCGCTGGATATCTCCAACGCCTTTAACTCTTTAAACTGGAAGGATATAATGCGTTCTCTAGATAAACAAAATGTCACATACCTTGTAAAACTACTTCAATCTTATTTCTCCGAAAATTCTGTCTCCATCAGGGGACACGCCTTCCAGGTGACAAGTGGAATAGGACAGGGATCGGTCCTTGGACCTCTGATTTTTTCGGACCAAAAACCTGATTTTTTCGAGAAAGCCGAAAAAGTCCGTGACCGGACTTTTCGGCTCTTATTTCCACAATCGTGGAACAGTATGGATAAATGTATACTCTGAAAAACTAAGGTTGACACGCCTGAACAAACTTTCTCTATGTGTAATATAGTCTCGATTGAGAAATCAAAGTTGGAGACCATCATCGGCGAGGGGCTGGAGGTTGAAAGAGTTCTCCCTCTAATGTCAGAAAATAAGGAAAAATGGAATGCAATCCAGAATTTTTGAAATCCGGCGGAACTAGAATTCAACCGTCGCGTCATCGTGCCAATGATATTTATATTTAAATAAAATAATCATTATTATGTTAGCATTTTTCCTCTAAAATTTGAGTAAACTTTAGTAAATTTACTGAGTTACTTTTTATGGTTGTTTTTTAGACTTGTTTAATGTTGCAGGTTTGTAGCGAGGGTTGGCGAGTTAAATCTTGATGAAAATGTACAAGATGGTGCGTCGCCAGAGGACATACCGATCAAAAAAGTGATCGTCCATCCGAGCTATGATCGAGGATTAATAGTTTCATCTTATGCAAATGATATTGCTATGGCCGTTCTGGAGAGAAGCGTGTCATTCTCCAGTAAGTTACATTAGATATATTTATATGAATCGTTGGTTTTTCTCGGTACATTAGAAAAAGCTAATACATGTATCAATTTTTAACGTTACAAATATTTCCTTCTAAAAATATTTGAATGCAAAAATCCCATATTGTAATAAAACGATTTGACATGTTTTGCAGCACAGTGCCTAAAAAAATGAACAAATTTGGTTAATTTCCGTAAAAAAAAACAAATGAATAAAGCATACAATTTTGAAACACCGCAATTGCGTAAATATTCTCGAGGTTCCAGTATGGACTGATTTATACAGATTGTCTTTTTCTTTTACTCCAGTGCAGTGGTGCGGACCAGGAAGGGAAGATGAGGGTCATCCTTTATTTTTGTCATGTCATATCCCGTAATATTGTTAATGTTTCATTCATGCTTTTATAATGTTTTTACGTTTGTAGGAAATGTTGGACCGATTTGTTTACCCGTTTTGCAAGAAAATAGGAATCGCCTCTTTGAGGGCCAGCTGTCACAAATCGCTGGCTGGGGATCAAAAGAATTCCGTGAGTAAACGTCTTGACTGATTTGTCTACATAAGCAGAAGAATTGCATGTCGTGAAAAATCAAAGTATCAAATAAAATAAGAAAGCAGCATGGACACCGCGTCTCATGAGCTGATAGGGTGGGCAATAACTGCGCACGGTGCGGCCTTTAGTTCTACGTCTCAACTCGCTCCATGAGAGTTTTGTTTTCTTTTACCTTGCTGACTATTTTTTGCCTTAAAAGTGACTAGAAAAGTGTGAACATGAAAGCGAATGAGAAAGTGACGAATACGCTTGTCATGGAGAAACAGAAAGAGAGACAGAAGAAATGCGGGAGAATAGGATAGACGAAAAATCCATCTCGGGGCAAATTTAGAAGAAAATTTTGCGTAACACGCGACACCCTCCTTCAGCAGTGATGGATGATATCTGAAATATAATGTAACTTCCCCGCTAACTTGTTCTTGGGTTGGATAGATACATCGAAACTGATCATAACAACCCTTTCTTCAGCTGTGATGAATGATATCTAAAATACAATGTAATTGTAAATGTAATGTATTGTCTTCATTTCAATGTGATCAGGTTTTTTTTTTAATTGTACATAGTTTACATGTTGCACAAAAATACTACTAGATGAGGATTACAAATTTAAAAAGCTTACATTCAACTTATAAGATAAACCTTAACGAATAACTTTACAAATGTAATCAGGTGGACCAGCTACTCTGGAGCTCTTGCGCGCTCAGCTGCCTGTGGTTTCTACAGCTCAGTGTAAAACAGCATATGCGGAAGAAAGGAGCGCTGTTATTGACGAACGGGTGATTTGTGCGGGTATAGACACCGGCGCAATCGACACTTGTCAGGTAGGAAACTTTCATTGGGTAATAAACCGAGAGGATCGGTCGTTGAATCGTTATGGAATAACCTTCATCCATGAATCTCTATCTCCGCGAGGCAATTTATCGATTGGGATCATTCTTAACGATTTGATAAACCTGCAGTTGAAGAGCGAAATAAATTATTATGAAAATCCTCCGGAGAACATTTTAAAACGCTCGCTCCCTTACAGGACCGGATTAAGGGGGTGGCCACATGGGCCGCGGCCATCTTCTTGAATATAGGTATCAAAAAAAGAGGAAACAAAATTGGATTCAGAAAATAAATTACAAACGAGAAAAGACGACAAAATCCCTCATTTCCTCAGAGTTAATGTATAGTAATTTCTAATTTTGTCGTCTCTCGATGATACAAGAGACAACACCTTCAATTAGTCGAGCTAAGAGAGAAACCAAACACACAATTTGACCTGGAACGGAGCGGCGCGGCGCGACGGTCAGCATGAAACGCATAGCGCCTACAAGACTGCATGAATACTTCACGCATTGCGTTAAACACACTGCGGTCAGCAGCAGTCAGTCGGCTGGAAACGCATAGCGCCTGCAAGACTGCATGAATACTTCACGCATTGCGCCAAACAGTGTAGTCAGCAGCGGTCGGTGTGAAACGCATAGCGCCTACAAGACTGCACGAATACCTCACGCATTGCGCCAACACAGTACGGTCGGCGCGGCGGTGGAAGTTAAAATTTTTAACCACATTTATATTAGTTCTTTCATAATTTTTTCAATTTAGAAATCTGAGGTAACGGGTCTTATGTGATTGAATTTTTACTCTCATGGGTGAATTTTTACTCAATGAAAAGTGAAATTGTTAGGAATTTTCTCATTTTCAGCTTTTCCAAATTAAATCCTAAATTTTTTTTTGAGGTTATGTTCCATTGTTTTGAACCAAACGATACATCGAACCACTGTCGAATACGATCTATTGATGTTTCAAAACAAATGAGAAGGGGGCGGAAAAATACGGGCGGCCCATGGGCGGCAAGTAGGTAAATCCGGCCCTGCTCCCTTACAACTTCTTGACTTAAATTTGTTTGTTAAGGCCTGGATACACGCTCAAATTTCCATCAATTTCCGATCAAATGGTGACAGGTGCGCACCATCTACCATACATTTTTTGCGGCCTGCAAAAGTTTGATGGTAGATGATGGAACTGTGGGTCTCATCCGTAATCTGATTTCCTCACAACCGTACTTATTTCATGCTCATTTTAAACAACACGCTGTTTTAATTTTACCTATCAATCTAGATAACTCTCGACCGCCATTTTTGTCATAATTTTGGTCGGAAATTGACGGAAATTTGAGCTTGTATCCACGCCTCTCACTACCGGAAGTCTTAAGGCTTTTCAGTGAGCAGGGGGAACTCTCCACGGGAGGTTCAAAGTCAAGGTGGTTCTAAGATGCGTCATATAAATGCAACTTTAGGATTTGGCCTAAATAAAAATACTGAATTGATGGGTTGCAAACATTCGCCGAATCGAAATGGAAAGTTGACCTTTAAGATAACTGGCTTAAGATACACATTTAACGCATCTAAAAAGTCAGAATTTAACTCATAACTTCACGATTTGCGCTCTATTTTATTTGTAAAATTATAATTGGAAATATCGTGCCCATTTTACGTCTAAAATACAAAACGCACGATCTTAATTTCGAAATACAGAAGCGTCCAAGCCTCTTCATTTGGAGTTACCGAGCAGAATTCAACTGCTGGAAATCCAAAAAATGTGAATCGACAGAGTACAAATACATGATCATTTTCTCCTAAAAAATGTAGCGTTTTATGACTGAGACCGGCTTTCTTTTGGAATATCGAGATTTTCGAATTGGCGATCGTGTACTGTAAAATGTCAAAATTTAAAACTACCTGCTAATGAGAGTAAGAGAAGGTAAATAAAAGATACACAATTTGATTAATCACCGAAAAAAAGTGAGGTTGATTTAACATTCAAGATGTAAAAATAGCGTTCGAGAACTTATAAAATGCTGAATTACTCGCTACAGCAGTCATTTTAGCAATGCCAAGATGTAAAAATAACTGCGGTGGCGGGTAATTCAGCATTTTTTAAGTTCTTGCACACTTGTTTTACATCCAGAATGTTAAATCAACTACATATTTTTTTGGAGGTAGTATTAAAAATTACATGATTTTCGTCTCCCTTTGCCCTCGTAATTTTTTACTCCAAACTTTATGAACCGCTGCTCAGGACGTAAGCTTTAATATATGTTGACCGGTAATGTTTACCGCAATACCAGGTTACACGATCAGACCTTCACATGACCCAGCCACGTTTTACAACGGTCCCTTTACTACCTTAGATAGAAGCACGGAATTTAGTTGAGGACTTGAGACTTGAGGTGCGACCTGTGTGTGCGAAATGGTATCATTCGATTTTGAAGGAGTTTTAAATTCGTGTGTCTACTGAGGTCAGAGAGATAGACTCTGCATTGAAGAACTACGTCTAAATGTCCTCCTCTTTTTTACTCCATAAGTTTATTCGTCATTTTATTTATAAAAAATAAAAAAATGTAAAGTGATTTGTAATTTACTAATTGTAACTTCATTTTAGGGTGACAGCGGTGGACCTCTGATGACAGAGTTGAATGATACATTCAATTTGATCGGCGTCGTTTCTTTTGGAATTGGCTGTGGAAAAGCGAACACCCCTGGCGTATATACGAGGACAACAGCGTTTCTCGATTGGATCTTAGACGTAATAGAAAATCAGTCGACGCGGTAGCCAAGACTGTGAAACAATGAGTCTTTGAGCAGTTTGAACCTAAAGAACCTCTGGGGAATTGGATTTTGTAAATCCACAGGAAGAAAATAACACCAACCGTTCGTTCGCCGATTGAAGACAAAAATGAGTCAATTTCTCCATCATCGTTACTATAAGGACGTATCTATTCAGAAACTAGTTGCGAACCCTCACGATTTTATCGTGTGTTTTTTTGTTGGCACCATGTGCTTCGATCACTATCTAATAAAATACATTGTCCACCCAGATATTATGTGTAAGCATTTGGAGATCAAATGTTTAGCGCTAAAAGATCCGCTATTGTATTGCAATGTAAAAAAGAATATAATGAAATACATAAAAAATGAAAAATCAGGTGAATACAGTTATTTTATGGCACGTTACGTTTTTCCATCACTAAGCCTCAGCCTAAGATATGTTTTTACAAAACTTTCCGTCATCTGAGTCATCATGATTAGTCATTACGATTTTCATTGCGATTTATTGTCTTTTGAATGAGCCACTAGAGAGAGCAAAAATTGAACACCATAAAACATGTTGCCTTTTCAAAGAGTCCCGTAAAAACGACGTACAACCTAAAAATATAAAAAATTCACTCGTATTTAATTTTTCTCAATAACACGTTTGTCCCATCCATATTGCCCGGTTTGTGAATTGGCCGAAGTTCTTGCTCATTCCGTGAACTAAGCAGCCGTTCCGCGGACTGGCTATCTAAGAGTCTGATAATTACGTCAACGGGCCGGTCATTGAATTTAAATGCATATTATATACTAATAGATGAATGTCCTCCACTGAACGACTTCTGTTGAACTATTCGCGAGATCTTCAGTGAAACTTAAAAAATATCAAAACAATTTACTGGCAATGTAAATAAATTTTACAACTTATTTTTTCTCAGAAGTTCATAATTTATAAGAGTATTTTAAATTTAGTAAATATTTTTAGTATCTTGAATAAGCGTGCTGCATATTCAAAAATTGGAGGTGCCTCAGCTTCAAAAAGACGAGACTGGGTTGAATGTAGCCCCTTGATGCAACTATAAGTGTTCCACGGATGTGCGTGTTGCATGTTCAAAATTGAAGGCGCTTTCAGTTTACTCGCTTCCTCGGAGATGTGCGGCACTCTCATCACAGATTACTTTTAAAGGAGAGTGTTACAAGTTAGTGACACGAGACCAGAGTAGCTAAGGCCAATCATTGAATCGGTCCTTCTTACAAAGACTCAAGCGCTATAGCTGAGCATGCTGAGTTTACAATATTAGCCCAATGCCCGCAAACTCCAAAACATGTTCGGTCTGTCTACCCTTAAAGATACGCATAGTAGTCAGTGGTGTGGCTAGAATTTTTTCGTAGTTGAGGGGAGAAAAGATTCTTTTTAAAAGAAGTGACATTAGCGGTCCAAAAGTTAGAAATTTAAGGTCGCAGGTAATCGCGCATCGAAACTACTTTGGATCATACTTTGACGAAGCGGGGGAAAGGGGGGGGGGCTAAGGCATTCCGGCAAATCTTCTTATCAGCTCAAACGGGAATAGGATTCCGCAACCCATTTTGCTATGGTTTCCGACATGAATAGATAATCGATTCCTCCTTCCGATGTGTGGCAAAATCCAGACCAACCAATCAAATTTTTTTCCTCGCTCTTGATCATTCAAGGAACAATAGGCGACTTATAATCATTAAATCAGCTCATTACTTACAGTTTCTGCATGCGTTGTTTCGAGATTGGACTCATCGAATGCTAGTAAATCAATCCATCACAAAAGATTGAGATTGTTGAGGAGCTAGACCCACGCTTTCTAAATTGAAATTCCTTACATAAACCATGAATGAGATGGATCATAATACCCATACGCCTCACCACTGGCTGTAAAACGAAAAACAAAAATCCAGACTGAGAATCTTGTTTAAAGCGCTTTACAGCGCTCGCTTTGCCAGGATGTGCACCTCTTTCCTGCCGTGCTAAGGTGCAACGCGGTATAAACATTCGAGAGTTGCCAAATTTCCTCCCATAAAATGTTTATTTTTGAAGAAAAATATAATTATTTTTCCTTAATATTTTCAGGAACTTCAAGAGAAATTTCGAATAAAATTATCTGAAAAATTAGAAGAAAAATATTCATAAGGTTAATACAAATGTCTTGTTTTATCGAAGGAAATTTGGCAACACCTCAAGGTGCATACGGCGTTCTTTCTTAGCACGGTAGTTTTGTACTTGCACTTTGTCTCAGGTACTCCTCTTTTCTGGGCAACAACGTGAAGCGGAACTGATTAAACGGATGTTTTGTGAACCTCAATTGAAGTTCATATTGAGCGACAGGGATCTGTCTACAAAGAGAATTCCAAAAACCAAAATGATAATCTATGATTTAAAGATGATAACAAACATTGGCAAACGATTTTGTATGCACTAAAAGAAAAATTGGCTCGTGGACGTTATTTTGATTCCTTGGAAGAAATGTGTTTCTTTCACGCCAAATAATGCTAAATTATACCTCCTGAGCTCTGAAATAGTTAATTCATCACTGTAAAAAAATAAATCTCTCGGATCCAGAGTCCATACTCTCAGAAAAGTTAACGAGAAAAAATATTCTTGATCCAATCGGATTTTTCCGTGAATCAAAAAGAAATCCGCTTAAATTAAGAGGCTTGGCTTTCGATTCAAGCCAAAATCTGATTGAATCAAGTGTAATTTTTCTTGTCAACTTTTTTAAGAGTATGGATTCTAGATCCGAGATACTTTTTTTCAATTGATTTCATTTTCTCCCACTTTAGGTGTGCTGACACCATCTCAAAGTTTTTATAAAGCACTGAGTGTGACATTATAACAGGTCTATAATACCCGGGCTGAAATATTTAGATGCTCCCACCGATGCCTCAATCATTTTCAGCCGAGTCTTTTCTTTATTTGCTCCGAATGAAATTCGGGACTTATCTCGATGACCGACAACTCTGTTCATCTGTCAGCGGTCTGCAGGTCATTAAGGCATATTTGTTTCTGTTTAGACAATAATGCCAATAAATTATTATTCATACTCATCTACTGTTACGCTAAATATTATGCAGTAAGTGTTGCCAAAGAAGGGATCTGTATTGTAATTTGCACTCCGTGCAATCTTATGCCAGAGCGTTTTTTTGCAGCTGGCAACGTTATGAATTGTCAACGCTGTAAACAATTAACACATCTCGGTGGTAATTGACACCGAGTGGTTTGCACCAATTATCGAAAAGCCCTTACCCGCAAGTTGTGGAGATTGTTGTGAAAGGTTCACTGCAAAAATGACGTGAAACATCGCTGTATACTTCAAACTTTTTCGGGGCTGTTAATGCCTCTATTAACACAGCGAAATCATGTAGCTGTCTGTATGATTTTTCCAATAAAATTAAACACGTCAAATTGTAAAATGTATGTGAAAATAGTTTGCGCATCGGCCAACATGGTGTAATTTTCAAAAGTTTAAAATCATATAGCTAATTATGACACATTGTAACGCGCAACCTCTGACATCATGTTAAATAAAATGGCATTATTACTAAATTGAGTCAATTTTTCCAGAAAATAACTCCCGGGTGAGAGTCCTCCTGGATGCAAACCGGAAATCTCACACTATAGTTACAGGACGTCTGTTTGAAATAATAGATACACCGTTTAAAACAATGGGAGTTCCTGTTAGTTTAGGAGGTCGCTGTCATTTTTGAGTTCCTGGTCCCCGAAAATGTCGTCTTAAAAAAGTAGCGTCAAGGAAGTATCTCCCAGAAACACTTAACATTTTGGTTACATCAGCGGATTGCCGGAGACACTCTGATTGCGCGAAAGTTACAGCATTAAGTGCATATTTGTCAAAAATATCCAGCGTTTTTCGTCACATCAGCTGGTGCAACCCGTAATGTTAAGTATTACATACATAAAGTCGCTTTTATAGCGCCGCCTCGCGCTCTGCGACGCCCAATCGCCATTGCCCCCTATCCTCCCAGAGATCATCAGGCAATTGGCACCTTCTGATCTCCTCCTCCACCCCTTGTCGCCAACCTTTCACAGGACGTCCACGCCGTCGCCTTCCGGGAGGAACCCAATCGAAGACCTGCTTGGGCAACCGGTCGTCTGCCATCCTTCGCACATGTCCATACCAGACCAACTGCTTGGACCTGATATCGTGCACGATGTCCTTCTCTACACCCATGATCTCGCGTACTTTTACATTGCGGATACGCTCTCTTCTTGAGATGCCAGCAGACCTCCGCCAAAAGTCCATCTCAGTTGCCCTAAGCATGTCTTCAGTTCTTTTCTTGAGTTGCCAGACCTCACTCCCGTAAGTTACGATACTCTTCACGATGACGTTGTAAATTTTCCTTTTGGTCTCCTTGGAGATACTCTGGTCCCAGAGAACCCCATTTAGCATCGCGATAGCTTTCCTGCCTTGCACATTCCGATCTTTAATAGCCCGATCCAAATTTCCGTCCTTAGTTAACCAAACTCCTAGATATTTATACTCTTCACAGTCCTGAATTTTCCAACCATCCTCCAGTTCAATGCTTTGCTGATCACCACCGATAACCAACTTCTCCGTCTTAACCACATTTACTTCCATTCCCCACTTTCGGTATACTTCCACTAGCTTCCGCGTCATGTAATTCGCATCTTCTTCGTCCTGAGCTATTACCACCTGATCATCAGCAAAGCACAGAGTATAAAGGGTGCCATCTTCACGCCCAAGTAGCATTTTGCAACGAAAAAATTGCAATTTAAATGAAATAAAATTTCCAGATGATTTCAACTTTCTTGCAAGAAAATTGCAATTATTTTACAACATCTGACCCCCTCATTGTAAAAAAGTTGCAATTTTTTTTTTTGCAAAGAAATTTCAATATTGACGACCTTTAAATTTCAACCCCTAAATTTTCCGGGGAAATTATAATAATTCGAACCCATGCTTACCTAATGTCCTACGACGTTTAGCAGCATAAAATACCGGACGCCCTTGAGTGGGCTTGAACCCGACCCGCGAATGTCATAGCGGAGCACTCTTCCACTGAGCTACAGGGAACTGTTGATGATCTTGGTTGAAATCACGCCTGTTAAGGCTGTTATCGCATGCATTGCGTCAGTGCGTGGCTCAACATTCATCATAGATTTGATTAACGCCGTTTTTCTCAGGCTTCTTTCTTTTGCCTATTATTTATTTTTTTTCGTGTTATTTATTTTTTTCATATTTTTTTTGTCTGATTTTTTTTTTCGATATCACGTAATAGGTACTCACACTAAATTTACACCGGTGTAAATTACACCACATACTAACTTGAGAACTTAAAAATATTTTCAAAAAATATTTTTAAAATATTTTCAAAACTTTCTTAAGGAATATTTTTAACAT